TTTCTCATAAGGAATATTCAATGTTGGTCCAACATAAATTTATCTCAGATTTTTTGGATATTTAGAAGTTTTGACCAATTTAATTTGATATTTTGTTTTTTTTTTTTGCGGAAAAATAAATTCTCGGTGCCTCTTTTCTTTTGGAATTTTAAAGATTTTGACCCAAATTTCCAATTAGAAAAATATTGGTTCCGGTCTATATTCTATATGCTTACTATGAAATTCGGTTCGATTTATTCCCCACTACAAAAAGCTTAGCATTTTTCGCTCATGAAATCCAATCTGAGGATGTTGCTAATTAAGACCCATTTATGTATTTTTTGAACAAAACCCATCTGTGCTTTTATGAGCTTAACAATTAGCTTTTTGTAGGAGTTCCACAAATACTTTATTTGCGACGGACAATGGCTTGTAACTTCAATATTTGACATCGTATGTACTTCCATTTGTCGTGGAAGTGCAACAGCCATACAGAGTGCTGCGTGTGGTAATAGTTGTTGCATTTCAAACAAACTATTACTTCACAAGTCCTACATTTATAATGATGATCCTCCCCTATTTTCATTGCATTACATTTGCTCCCTATGTCAGCAGGCCGGTTTGTTGGTATGTGGTGTTTTGATTTTAAACATTTGAAGTCAACGCACTCTAAGTATATGTCATTTGTGTTTCTTTCTTCTTGATTGTTGTTGTTTTTTTTCGTTGCGGCCACCATTAACGTGCCACTCAACAGAAACTCTTTGACGCTTGACGGCATAGTGAAATTTTGCTTTTTTTGTTTTGGTTTTTTGTTCACTTTGTTGGGGAAGAAAAGCCATAAAAATAAATCTCTGTAAAGTTCAATGTTTAAAATAACATATTCTTTTTTCTAGAAACACCCAGCTGTGTGGTGTGGTTGGCCGGCCAACAGACACTCGCTGCACTAGCTCCTCCCTGGCAAACATGGCATGCAATGTTAAGTTTCACTTCCCTGATTGATTTTGAACTTTAAAAATGTCATTCTAAATATTTGGATGGCAGTCTAACGAATTCTTTTTCGGTTGTAGGAAATGGCAAGAGATTTTCAGTTCTTCGTTTTCACATTGAAGAAAATCATTTAGGGTGTGGACGACACAAATGTCCTAATAAATTAATTGATTTTCTTTCTAGATGTGTTGTAGATAATTAGTCGTAGTAGAATAGTTTTTCCAATATTTGTCATTGGTATTTTATGGTAGTTCTCTATATTTGTAAAAAAATGTCGAAGATGTCTGACACCATGGCGTTACCATTTTTGGAAAAATTACTAAATGAAGCGTGGCGATAAATTGAATTATATTGATCTTTTGTTTTTGATTAACGGTTAATTTAATTACTTATCATTTATTTCCGTCACTAAACATACTGATATGGAACTGTTTCAGGGACGAGAGTTAATTGGGGAAAGGTTAAAAGAAAATTGTGAGCGGTAATGATGTTATAATCGTATTAACGAGGGAGAAGCATAGCCGCAAGGTTTGGTAATTTTCTTTGAAGAACCGGCAAAACAGAGGAAGAAGTTCAAGTAGTTAGAAGAAAACAATTTTTCAAGAATTTAAGAAAACGAAGTCAATCTTTAACTACTAGATTCGATTTATAGCGATTGTACAGAATCGTGGTTACTTTATCTAAACAGTGGCATATGTAGAAAAAAAAATCCAAGAAAAGGTTTACGCTCCATCAAGGAAGGGTCTATCGAGGGTCTATTAAAATTGACATTCCGTTTGTAACATCTCGAAATGTTTTCCTTGACCAGTGTAAATTTATGTGTCCGATTGTGTACGATTAGCCCTGTCACTTGTTGAAATCATGATGGATGTTAGAGTATTGAAATTCTACACAGACATAGATATTTTTTCTAAGATGTTTGGTGTTAAAATTGGAATATCTTATCTTGTTCCACTTGATATTGTTTTTTAGAGTGTTTAGGTTAGGTTAGGTTAGGTTAAAGGACGCGCAGTTACCATATGGCAACCGCACCACTCGGAGACCTATAGGTCCATTGTGTTTACCCTAGAAGAATAGTAAGAAAAAGGAAGGAGTGGTTGATAGAAGAGGGTGAAGATAGAAGATAGAGTTAAAGAGTGTGATTTACGGCTAAGGAATTTGCCGTGTCGTCTTTAGCCACTTGGATCTTCTGGCTAATTGAAGAATTACTATAGGGTCAGTGTTAGAAAAAGAAGACAGATCATGTGACACTAGTTCACCCACCAGCCTGTGTCTCACATTAATAAGTGCTGGGCAGTGACAGAGCAAGTGTTTGACTGTCTCAATTTCTTCTTCATCTTGATAGATCCTACAGTAGTCAATGTCGTCGTTATCCCATTTCGAGGTCATTGCCCTCACCTTACAGTGACCTGTGATGATACCCACCACAAGCTTTAGATCAGGTTTCGACAATGACAGTAGCGATTTTGTTCTCTTCTTTGAGAGTGTGGGCCAGATTCTTGTTGAGATAGTGCAACCCATTTCATCCAGCCATTTTTGTTTGATTTTCTCAGAGTAATGTCTGTGAATAACCTGTAGGAAGTGGCACAGTGGTGGTTTAACTGAGTTATTTACTTCAATTGTAGTTGATTCGGATCCTAGCCTGGCCAATTCGTCTGCAGTCTCGTTACCTGGGATGTTATAGTGACCAGGAACCCAACAGAGCTTTATGGACAACCCTGTATTTTCCAAGACTTTCCTGCAGTTCAAAACAGCCGTAGACTTAATGGTAAAGGAATTTAAGGCCTTTAGTGCCGCCTGACTATCGACATATATAGACACCGGACCGCTGACCTCAGTATTCCTCGTGAACAGCAGATGTGTGGTCTTTTCGACCGCAAAGATTTCCGCCTGATATACGGTACGGAATACAGTTGTTTCCAAGCTAGTAGGATTCATTTTAGAGTGTTTGCCACAAAGATGTTCAGATAGCAGAAAGAATTTTCGAAATGAGTCAAACATTTCTAGAAAAGGAATCGCAGATCAGCTTGGGCGGTCCAGGATGCTGATTCTCCAGTATCAGGGGTTTTTGTACCCTCCACCATAGTTTGGAGGCTATATTAAGTTCGTCATTCCGTTCGAAATATACTTTTTAGACCCCACAAAAAGTATACATTCTTGATCAGCATAAAATTTTATGTCGATTTGGCGATGTCATTCCTCCTTTTGTTTATTCGGAAATCACTCCTACTTCCGAACGAAATGAAGAAGGATCGTACAATTTTACTCAAATGTATATTATGTCTGCAGAACTTTTGGTATTGAAAATGGGCCACGTAGGATCAAGTTTTGGTATAGCCCCCATATAATGGTACCTCCCTATTTTCCGTATTTTGGTGATTTACGCGAAATTATTCACCGAAATTGTTTCAAATTTGGTATTTGAAGTTCGTAATGAATATTACAGCCTATGATAGAAAATTGTCTGCGCAGATCCGCGTCTTCGTATAGCCCCCATATAACGGTACCACCCGATATTCGTATATTGTTAATTTTAGCGACGTTATTCACTGGAAATGTTTCAAGTTTGGTATTTGAAGTTCGTAATGGATACCAGCCTATGACAGAAAATTTTCTGTGCTTGTCCAGGCCTTCGTATACCCCCATATAACGATACTTCCCGATATTCAGTATTTTGGTGATTTTAGCGACATTATTCACCGGAACTGTTTCAAATTTCATCTGGATTAGTCTGGTGCGTCTATCTCCCTTTTGTGTTGTTTAACCACTGACGTTGTCGATTCTCAATTGCTTCTAATTTCACTACAGATTCTAGCTCCGTTTGGGTTGAACTCTGCAGTTTCGCCTCGAAAATCTTGTTTTGGGTATGAGACACTATAATCTGAGGAAAATAGATTGAAAACACTCCTGTTGGGTACAACTGGGTCTTGAAGTGTAAATATCATCGAAGTAGACCTCATGTTCTACATGAATATTTCAAGGTGTTGAAGAAGGAAATGGCAAACGCGATATACTGGCTGACCCCACCAGCTATAATCCCGTTTGGTCAGCGGTTGTTATGAAACAGGTGTTACTCCTCCTTGACGGATGGTTTTCGCTATTTAGGAAATAACAAACGCATTTCATAATAGGCTCTCCATGTAGGTGGTAGAAATAGACGATAATTGTGATAAAAATTATACTTTATCTATATAATTAAACGCTATTTAAAGAACATTTAAACAATGGAAGCTTGTGCGCTGTGCTGTCTGTCGTCGGCACACTCATAAACATTTTGCAGTTTTCAGCGGCGAACAAAACATGTTTGTTGTCGGTTGCTAGACAACAATTTGTTATATTGACGTTAATACGTCAGAATATGACCGAAAGACCAAACAAACGAACGGCGACCATCTGTTGCTACTATTTGTTTCTTTAGGCTTTCTTAGTTCCATAGATTTCCACAAGGTAGGTGGTGGGTACGCGGTGATGGCGGCGGTAGCATGAGCAACACGATCATTGCCAGTCGCTGGTGCGGAGCAACAATATTAACAAAATACCAGGCATAATAAACAATAATCCGTTACGTTTATAACGACACGATAATGATGAACTTGTATGGTGGAAAAAAAGAGATTTGAATCACGCACATGGCGAGGGATAGATGGCGTTATGCTTCAATTCACTTTCAAAACATTCAAACATATAATTATTATATGTTGTTCGACAGTGTAATATAACTACATACCTACATTTAGACACACCATGGTCTGTGGCAGATGATGACGATGGTTTGATAATGCCATTGCGGCCGGCGGGGCATATTCAGGCCAAATGTTTTCAGTGAAAAAGTAAACGAAAAACAATTTCAAATATTTTAAGACGAGAGAGTAGTAACCGTCAGTCAGTCAGTCAGGTTATGATCATAAGTGAATGTGTCTCATTGACATTTATCTACTTTATTATCATTGAGCGTCACTTTTTGTACATTAAAAAGAGAAACAATTGTAAAATTCAAACTAATTTCCTTTTTTTTTCATTTCTTTTCTTTTCAGAGAATTGCATAGCGCAATACAACAGAAGTCAGTTAGTCAGCCAGCCAACTCCCATTTTCCTGCTGCTGTGCACCATCGTAACTACTAAAAACAAAGACAACAAAACTACCATCATATTCTTCATCATCAACTCTGTGAATAGTGGCAAGCCCGCAAGCTTATAAAAAAATTATAGAAAAATGGCAGTGAATGTATATTCAACAAATGTTACAACCGAGAATTTATCCAGACATGATATGCTGTCTTGGGTAAATGATTGTCTGCAAGCACAGTTTTCGAAAATTGAAGAACTCTGCACCGGTAAATAAACCAACGATACGAGACACTTTACACTTAAGACAGTGGCGTAGTAAAAATGAACAGATGAGTATTAATTGTGAACATTATATGGATTTGTATATATCATGCAAAAGGAAGGTTAGGTTACGGAATGCGCAGCTACATCATTGGTCCATTGGTCCTACTGATAATAGGATAGATATAGATTGAGAAAAAGGAAGGAGTAGAAAGATCTAGTTATATTAAGACATGATATTCTTTTAGTAAATCTGTTGGTGATAATTAGATCTACGTGTGAGCAGAACGTTAAGGTTTCTTTTTCCCATATACGGACTTCCTATTTCTCTGAGGCTAATCCGTTATTGAACTCGGCTCAGATCAGCTCCCAATATTTGTCTCCATAAAAAGACAACACAAATTCTTAAACCCTGAACAGAGTGATTGGTCAGATTTCAGTGTGTTTTTAGAAGAAATGTTATTTGGTCTAAACAGAAGTTTGATACAATTTTCTATATTGATAACATCAGCCACCACCGCCCAGGCATGTATGGTATAACCTTCATGATCTAGAAAGAGAGGTACAGAGGTATAAGAAAGAGCCAACAGGCCTAACAAGCGGGACTGAATAGTATTCACGCAGATGCGGTCACAGGAGTTATAGGAGAATAGAGTGATTACCATACTCCGAGATCATCCGCTTCCCATCGCAGCTGAATAACAAGAGCTGCCTCGACGAACCAGAGTCGTTTTGCCACAACCGCTTCAATTCGTATTGGGCTCGAATTGACAGCATTACGCAGCGTGTGGCACAGGCCCGCATGACACACTGCTCATCTTTAACTTCCCAGCCAAACCTAGCTCTCGTATCGCCATGAACCCAATCCAGACAGATAAGAGAAGAGCCAATCAGAACGAACAACAAATATTTACGATGGCAATATTTAAACAACTGTTGAGGCACGAGAAGTCGATTAGAGAACAACTATCCTCAACATGCTGGTAGTAGCCCTCACTTCATTATCGAGGACTATCACATGCGTCGCGTCGTTAGCAACCAAATCTCTTGGGGTGCACAACTTTTTCCATGGAAGCGAACCAGTAACAGAGTTTCCCATCATCAGAAAAAATACCATAAAATACATAGGACCATTCCTGTACTATACTCACATTTTTACACATAATATTCCAGGATTAAATCAGGATTTATCTAGGACTGCGGTCAGCCATGCGATTTAGCAAGTTGTTTGAGCAATAGAAGCCTTTCACTAATGTCGTAGCCTTATGAACGAGATTATTGCTACCAGGAGAGATTTTTATGATGAAGAGATAGATTTTCATTGATACACGCATGGGCTTCTAGTTGGATCAGGATCAGGCCTATTAAGCAGTAGTTGAGTAATATTCACACTGTTACATTCAGATATGTACTTGGAGACCACCCATCTATTGATTACTGAATGGAGCAGGCACCCCAATTCATAACAAATCGAAGACCGACGAAACTTGGAATTTTTAAACAGAACAATTTTTCGGTTAATTATTTAGAGTCCAAAAAGATGCATATTTTTTGTTCAGTGTAAAATTAGACTTGTTCTGATTGTTATAGTCTCGGCATCTTTCGAGGGAGATGTTTGAACTAAGATCAATTTTGGAAGTCGACGGGGTGTTAAAGAGCGTAGGTGTTTTAAATGTTCTATTCGCATTTCCCAACGAAAGTATTTTTCCCAACGTCATGCAACATACACGCTCTTTAATTCTTATATAGCTCAAATAGGATGGCATATCGGTCGGTCTGCCCTAGTATTTTTGTAATCAAAGTATACTATTGCCCGTTTTAGGCAAACATTTGCACAGCTGATCTGGTTGAATTGGTGGTAATCGAGTCAGATTTAAATGAAATATAGCTAAAGCTCCCATATTCCGATTCATCCTTGTTGATATCTCAGGAATTTTTATTTATTTAGTGCGGAAGCCTTGTCTCCGTATTTTTTACTCTTTAAGTATATCTGTTTTTACTCCTCATCATACTACCCAACATCAACTCCCATTTGTTTCAACTACGCCACTGTCTCTCAGAATTCATTCACCCAAAAAACGACAATGAAAGCTCTTTAACACACAATGTATTTACCTCATTTCTTTTTAGGTGCTGCTTACTGTCAATTTATGGATATGCTATTTCCTGGTAGTGTGCCTATGAAACGTGTCAAGTTCCGTACAAATTTGGAACATGAATACATTCAGAATTTTAAGATATTACAAGCCTCCTTCAAGAAAATGACCGTGGATAAGGTAAGTTGAAATCTGCACTCTATGTGTGTAATAACAGTATATACATATTTATAATAATAATAAATAAATAAAAAAGTAAGTGATCGTTTTGTTTTGGCCCACGTACTACATATGAAATGATTTAAACGGCAGACCTTTGTCTTTTTCTCTCTCTCTATATATGTGTTTTTTTTTTTTCTTGTCCATGTTCTGCTTGGTGTTGTTGATTAACCGAACAATAAAAATGGCCCAATACACCGAACCGGACATCAAAACCAAACTCTGGTGGTCTCCCTTTGTGTGTGCGCGTGAATTTTGTGTCTTGTTTCTAGATAATACCGGTTGACAAATTGATTAAGGGTCGTTTTCAAGACAATTTCGAATTTCTGCAATGGTTTAAGAAATTCTTTGATGCTAATTATGATGGACGTGAATATGAACCATTGATTGCACGCGGTGGCATACGTTTGGGCAATGGTGTTGGTGGAGGCGGTAGTGGTGTTGGCAGCAGTAATGATTTACTAGACAGACGTCACATACAAATGCCTTCGGGACGAACACATCATGCTGCTGCACCAACACACACACGAACAACCGGTAAAGACCAAAAAAAGGAAAAAAAAATATTCGTATAAAAGTTATTTATCGAGTGTGAAGCACGTTTCTCTTCTGTACCTAATTATTTATTTATATTTTCTTCTCTTCATTTGCGCACTTACTCGGATGGGATTCATAATTTCATTTAATTTTATTATCTTTTTTCTTGTTTGTTGTGATTGTCTTGGTTTGTTGCGCTACTGGGGATACCTTATAATTTTTACACGGATTAAAATGGACCGCCGCACCCTACATACTACTCTACTACCACTACTAAGACACTTTTTTACATCACTTACATTTTGTGCACAATTATTATAATTATTTAGTTGTTTTCACTCATTTGCAACAGTTCTTGTTTTTTGTTCATCCTCTTTATAATGAGGAGGACTATTTTTATTTTGTTCTGTGCTGGGATTTCATTATCGATTATTATATTTTAGCGGAAGGAAAGGTATGTGCCATACTAATTGCTCTTAATTGTCAATTGTTTAAGTTAATGCGTTGCGATTGTAAAAGGGATTTAATTATGGCAGCTATTTGTTTAGGTCACAAAGGCATCTAAGGCATAGTAATTATTATTTGTGCAAGTTCGAACGATTTTTATACTGTCTACCTAACTGGGGATTTATAATTCCGTATGCAACTTCTCGAAAGAATCATTCTAGACTATCAGCGTAATTACAATAACAAATGAATAGGAAGCAAGCCTTTTTTCATACACGCAACTCAAGCTTGAAGATAGGCTACATCGGTTCACGATAGCGTACAGGTCCCATGCAACGGAACCCCCAACTACCCAGTATATTGATGATTTGAGACACTTTTCTCAACGGAATTTTTTGAAATTAGGTATTGGACGTTAGCAATTATTAGTTAACCTTCTGGCAGAAAACTGTACAGGATGAGATAAAAAGAAACTGCAACAAAGTCAAACTCCATATTTTTTCTTTTTTTTTTAACTTTATTGAATGAAAGCAAAAAATGTCGGAAATTGCATAAAAATTTAGAATAAGTTTAGATTTGTTCGAATTGGTCACCTTTGGCACAAATTATGGTCTTCAAACGGCCAATGAAACCGTCACACGCTACCCGAATGTTGCTCTGCGGTATTTTGTTATTATTATTTGTTACTAGTCCAACGGATTGGTATCCGAAGATTTTGGTGGCCATTGTGCGCTGGAAATAAAGTGAGGAACCTCATTTTGTAACCATTCTTGGGTGGCACGTGCTTTGTGCAATGGTCCTGAGTCCTGTTGGAATGTCCAAGGTCTGCGGTCAAAATGTTTGGGTGCCCAAGGCTTTAATACTCCCTCCAGAATATTTTCGCGATAATATTCGGCATTTATTCTGATGTCACGGCCGATTAATACGAGCGGAGAGCGACCATCGGCTGTTGTGGCGGCCCACACCATCACCTTAGCCGGCCCTTGAGTTCTGGTGGCCAACCGAAAGTGCAGATTTTCAGCTGACCTCTTTGGCAATATTTTGTTTGTTTACAAACTGCTGGACAACGAATGTTTTCTCATCGGAGAAAACCAAATTCGGAGGTTCACCACTTTCGGCCATGCGAAGCGCAACTCTTCAGTTCTTGCACTATTGTAATTTCAAAGGCTTTACCCCGAGCTCATTTTTCAATATTAGCCGAATGGAATGTTGTGATATGTTCAGCTTACGACCCATTTTTCGCCCACTGCAAAGCGGGTTTCCTTTACTTTTTGAACCATTTCTTCTGATGTTGCTGTTTTCTTCCGCCCACATCCTTGAAGTCGAGCTACGCTATCAGTATCACTGCAACGAGCGATGGTACGAGACATAAAATATTTATCCACATTTAAATGCTGGAGTGCTCCAACGATAGCCCCTTTTGGTTTTTCAGCCAAATATAAAGAAATCACACTATCACACTTGAGTTCCGTCACAAATAACTGTTTTTCTGGAAAATCCTTACTAAAATGCTTTTGTGTGCTTGTAAACAATATAATAGGCTATCACTGGGATAATTTTAACAGCTGTCGAACGAGTGGCTCTGAAGTTGGTTGCAGTTTTTTCATCTCACCCTGTAGTTGCACATAATTTTAAATTTTGAATGAGTAGGAAATCTTACAAAAATATGTGATTTTCTATAGGCCGTTGTTAGTGGGAGGAATACTTTTCTGCTGGGTTTTTAATTCACTTTGCAAAAATGGATAATTTATCATATCAAGCCCCGTCCCCCGCCCCCTCTACATTCTAAAATACCATTATTGTTGTTGTCCCCCTCGCAAAAATCCCATTCTCTTAAGCAGATATCATAAAACATCACTTACTTTGAACACTTTTTTAATTGTAAAACAAATCAATAACTATAATAATTAAATTGACTTAACCAAAATATTTGTTTCACATTTTCATCTATCATTTATTTGTTTCTTCTTCTTTTTTCTTTCGTTTTATACCAACACCCGTTTTGATTTCATTTAAATTCTACAATTGGATGTTCGTCCAATCAAATGGTTCTACGCTTTATTTTTATGTTTGGTTTTTTTCTTTTGGGAACACCATCTAACTTATATTTTATAGATTATACCCATTGACAAATTGATAAAAGGCCGCTTTCAAGATAATTTTGAATTTTTGCAATGGTTTAAAAAATTCTTCGATGCTAATTACGATGGCCATGATTATGATGCCAGTGCGGCCAGAGAGGGTGCACAAATGGGTTTTGGAGCGGGTAATGTTAAGTCTTTGCCAGGCACTGGTGGCGGCAACACATCATACAGGAAACCGGCTGTGGCAGTGGCCACACAACGATCGACAGTGTCATCAACAGTGAGGCCCAGTATGTGATTTGTCCTTTATTTGTAGATGTTTTGTTGTTACATTTTTTGTTTTGTTATATATTTTTATTGTATATTTTTAAATGGTTTTAATTTATGGTCTATTTTTGGTATATTATTTTAATTTAATTTCTTTGGCATTTAACAAATTTTGAAGAGCACCTAAAAACATTTTCACCCAAAATTCTTCAATAATTTATTAACTATTCTTAATTCATTGTCTTGGCTTCTATTGTAAACAAAATCTTTATTTTTTCATTTTTCAAATTATTTTTTTTTTCGGTTTGACGTGCTTCGCGTTTGTTAAATTAAACAAGAAAGAAAGAAATACAACTTTTTCGCCTAGTGAAATTTACTCAATTTGTAATCGTAAACAATTTGACTATTTTTCACTTGCTATGACCTACAACTTGCATTAATAACCATCCATTCCATACCTATAAACAGCTACAAAAGTACCACCCAGAGCAGCACCTGCAGCAAATTCAAGAACCAATGCCATTTCAAACAGCGGTGGCGCTGTTAAGAAGGCAAATGACAATTCAAATGCTGTAACAAATCAACAAATTGAGGAATTATCAAGTCAGGTAGATATAAATGTTTTTAGTAATTACCTTTATACAACCTCAAGATCAAATATTATGTTCTGTTTTCTATTTAAGGTTATGGATATGCGCCTAAATTTGGAGGGTTTGGAAAAAGAACGAGATTTCTACTTTTCTAAATTGCGTGACATAGAAATTCTGTAAGTTATCTTATTTTTAAAAACAACTTTTGGTGTATAAATCTAATGGTTACCTATAAATGTTTTCTTTCAGCTGCCAAGAAGCCGATGAAGGAGATTCGCATCCTCTTATACAGAAAATTTTGGAAATTTTGTATGCAACGGAGGTATGTAATAAAAAATGAAATACTATCTATAGTAGGAATTGGAACTAGAATAACATGTAGGACTAGTTTAGGGGCAAAAAGAATTATTAGTTTCCCAAAGTCGTAATATTAATTCATAACAATGGCATTCGGTAAAAAAATTCGAATCGAATTGCCTCATTCTATCGACATCGGCTAAAATGTTGATATAGCTGTCATTGTACACATGGCACGTTTATGTAAAGGGTGATTTTCAGAACTATACGAAAAAAATATTCATAAAGTTAAGAAAAAAACTATTAAGTTAGTTACGCAGTAATGGACTAGGCGTAAGCCCATCAGAAGTAGATATCGGTACTGTTCTCTCATTTCAACTAAAAGAAAAATAATGAGGGACGCGCAAAGAGAGGTTCATTCGCACTCTACTCTAAGAACTCTATAGGTAAAAGTTGGGGTTTTAAACCACATATAATCAAGTGGATGTATGAGACAATTGTTCGCCCGATCCTAGCATATGGAGATCAAGTCAGGTGGCAAGTTGAAACGCCGCATCGCTACTGATCACTGTATCCAGTAGTTTGCTTACGTCCAATAAGACTTCACGTAGAGGAACCAGGCAATCACGTGTGTGCCCTTCGACTTAGAGAACTGAAACAGTGGCTCAGTCAACTCTTCAGTCTCTCTGGGTACGTCGTATAGAATGTATAAAAGAAGCAAATACTAGTTGTATTACCACGGTTGAACTTCGAAACACACCGGAAATCAGGTGTGCCCTTCGACTTGGAGAACTCAAACAAAAGCTCAGTCAATTCTCACTCTGCGATCTTGTGTCGTATGGAAAGAATAAGAGAAGTTAATACTAGTTGCATTACCACGGTTGAACTTCGAACCACTTAACATCCACAAATATTTCAGTGACGTCTGGAACCATTAAGTTTATCCCAGGCGGAAAATTTTGCGATCAAAAAAGCCATAGGCAAACAAAAACCGTTGACAAACAGGAACAGTGAGTTAAAGGGGTCCGGTGATTATATATAGGGTGAGTTTAAAGATCTGCAACAAAGTCAAACGCCATAATTTTAACATTGTTGGCCCATTCCCGGCGAAGCGCTAGCTTGAGGTGATCGACACTTTGGTATTTTTTAGTACCAACCTTGCTTTCCACAATACTCCATACACAAAAGTCCAACGAATTGGTATCCGGAGATTCTGGTGGACATTGTGCGCTGAGAATGAAGCGAGGAACCTCATTTTGTTACCATTCTTGGATGGCGCATGCTGAGTGCAATGGTGCTGAGTCCTGTTTGAATGTCCAAGGTCTTTGCATTCCCAAGGCTTTAATACACCCTCCAGAATATTTTCGCTATAATATTCGATATTTATTCTGATGCCACGGTCGATTAATACGAGCGGAGAGCGACCATCGGCTTTTATGGCAGCCCACACCATCGGCATGGCCGGCGCTTGAGTTCTGGTGCACATTTTCAACTGACCTCTTTGGCAAGTAAAGCTGGACAACGAATGATTTCTCATCGGAGAAAACCAAATTCGGCGGTTCATCACTTTCGGCCAAGCGAAGCAACTCTTAAGCTCTTTTGCGACTATTTTCTTTCTGTTGCGGTGTAAGTTCTTGCACTTTTTGGAATTTCCATGTCTTTACCCCGAGCTTATTTTTTTCTCGAAAATTCTTACCAAAATACTTTTGTATGCTTGTAAATAATGTAATGAGTTGTCACTGGAATAATTTTAACAGCTGTCGGACGAGTGGCTTAGAAATGACAGCAGTCTAAAGTTTGTTGCAGTTTTTATACCCTCCACCTTGGAAAGGAGGGTATATTAACTTTGTCATTCCGTTTGTAACATCTTTAAATATTCGTCGTAGACCCCGATGTCCGTCTGTCTGTCTGTTGAAATCACGATATTTGACGTAACGCGTCAAAATTCAGCAGAACAATTTGTATTGTGTCTAGGATGGTTGGTATTGAAAATGAAATATATCGGTCCACGTTCTGGTATAGTCCCCATATAACGGTACCTCCCAAAATTCGGTATTTTGATGATTTTTGACACATTTTTTCAAGAATTTTTCTGAAAATTGGTAGTTGTAGATTATAATCTGAATCTGGCAACGCTATGCCTGAGTAGTCGTGTTTATTTCACTGCAGCTGATCAATCGCTAAATTTTTTGGATTCTATTTATAATTGCCGCCATACCTTACTGTTTGCAGCTCAATTTTAAAATTTACTTCGAGGTTGTGAAGAATTGCAAGGAACTCAGTTGGATTTCCCGATAATTCGAGCTAAACATTGTCCTATCAAGGTGGATTATTGCTGAATCATCACTGTTTGCTTTTTATTGGTTTTATAACTGTTGTCGCTGTTTTTTATTCTGCTTTGCGTGCTGTTCCTTTGCTGTGGTTGTTGTTGTTTGGATTGTCTGATTATTTCAAAGATGTCGAAGTCAGAAAAGTGTGGTATTTGTTGCGATTCTATTACCAAGACTCAAGGAAGCATTATGTGTCGCCTGTGCTCCAACTGGCTACATTCTCATTGTGCCAACGTTGGTACTAAGGAATTGGCTGCATTGCGAGCAATAAAATTCAACAATTATATTTGTTCCAAATGTGACGCAAATCTTCAATCCAACAGCAGTAGCGGAATAGCTGACGAGATCCGCAGTCTTAATACCAAGTTTGATGGCTTCATTTCGAACAATCAAGCAGAACAAAACTCAATTAAATCAGCATTGAACGATATAAAGACGGAAATGTGTTCGTGCTTTTCAGAACTTAAAACTGAAATTAGTAACTGCAACGAGAAAATCAAAACTGTGGAAGCTACTACTTCTTCAAAAATGTCTGAGATGGAGGCTGAGCTTAATAAACTGCACTGCAGGCTAAATCGGGCGGACATTCTAGTTGGTGGACTGCCATCTGGCTTACCAGATTTGATGGCACCAATTCTGGCGCTGGGCAAGTTTTTTAATTTGTCTCTATCTAGTGCAGATATTAATCAAGTTTCATACATAAGGAAGAAGACGCAAATATTGATTAAATTTAATAACGTGTCTCTTCGTGACTCTATAATGAGGGAGTATTTCAAAACAAGAAACATTAAAGTCAGTGACCTATTGGTTGGAGCCGGTAATGACTTGTCAAACCGAGTATACTTGAATGAGCATTTCTCGCCAGGCGCTGCGCATCTGAATTCTTTATGTAGAAAACTGCGAAGGCTCAATATTATTGTCAAGTATAGAATTCTTAACTCGAATACACTAATGGCTAAATTAAATTTTTCAAATGGAACTGATATTGTTGCTGACCTCGAAAAATGCAACATGCTATTGAAGGACGCTGAGTTGTCACCATCTTAAATCTACAAATTTCCTTTTTTTGGTATTGTAATTATAAAATTTAAATTTATATTAGGATCAGCTGTTTGAAGTTATAAAATAGAGATATAGAGTATGTTTTTATATTTTAAATTTATTTTATCATACATTTTTTCTTGGTTCCCCTCCTCTAATTATTTGCCAGTTTATGATGTCTCTTAACGACAACCTTGGTCCGGTGGTTAACAATAACTCTTATATTAAATCTGCCCTCTGCTCTAGTAACCAACATTTTAAACTTGCTCATTTAAATTGCCGTAGTATAAAGGCCCAGCTGAAGATTGAGGAGTTAAGGCATATAATTGTAGATAGCGCATTGCACTTATTTGCTGTATCAGAGACTTGGCTTACTCCTGAAGTTTGTAATAATGCAATTTCCATCCCTGGATATAGAATATGTCGTAATGATCGGCAATTCTCTGGCAGAGGAGGAGGTGTTGCGATATTTGTGCAAAATGGACTACAATTTAAAACTGTTTTTCAAATCTCATTGGCTGGATGTGAATCATTATTTATTGAATTGGTGTTTGGGCATGTTAAAGTCTTGTTTGGTGTTGTTTACTTGTCTACGGGTTGTTTACACAATTTTGAAGTCAATCATAGAGAAATATTTTCCAAATATTCAAATATAGTCGTTTTAGGTGATTTCAACATTAACTTATTTGATGTTTCCAAAGCAAACATTTGTCGCTCGTTTTGTGCCAGATACAATATGTCGATAATTCATAACTCAAAGCCATCTCATTTTGATTTAGGCAGAAGGTCGACATCGCTTATAGATTTTATGTTAGTAAGTGATGCTTCTTTCAAACATTTTTCTGGTCAAGTTCAATGTCCGTCTGTTTCTGATCATGCCCTCATCTTTGCATGCCTTATTTTCAATGTTTATTATCCGTCCAAATTCATAGTTTTTCGAAATTATAATATAATCGATTGGGATCATTTGTTTACTCTCTTGAGTGAGTTTGATAGCTATGCTTTTTATAGTTCAGTACATGTAAACATGAAATGTGAATTTCTAACAAATCTGCTTGCAGATCTTTTTTCTTGTGTTCCGGTTGTGCGAAAGGAAATTAATGCTAATTCAGATCGCTGGCTTGAAGCAATGGATGTAGATTTTGCTAGATCGGCTAGGGACTTAGCTTTTTCTGCCTTCCAACATAACAGATGTCAAGAAAATTGGTCCACTTACCGCAGATATCGGAATAGGGCTAGGACCGTAATGCGCAGGGCCAAAAGGAAATTTTTCTCTAAACTCTTAGGTAATGCGAATTCTGCTGGAATATGGAAAATATTGAAAAACTATGGATGTGTAGAATCCGATAATACTGCAATTGACATTAATGTCAATGACATTAATAATTTTTTTGCTCTAAATAATTCTGTGCAGGATAATGAAGTTGACTTCTCTCAGTTTACTGACACAGATTCGTCCTTTTCCTTTCGCTGTGTTTCGGAAATTGAGGTCCATGAAGTCTTGAGCAAGATCAAATGCAAGTCGGTTGGTGTAGATGAAATTCCAATATACTTTCTTAAATTGGTTTTTCCATATATTTCTGACTTTGTTCTACATTTAGTGAACTACATTTTAATTAGTTCTTCATTTCCACAAGATTGGAAAACTGCGCGTGTTGTGCCCATTCCAAAATCTAAAAATGTTCAGGGTCCGGAAGACCTCCGCCCAATTTCAATACTTCCAGCCATTTCGAAAATAGTAGAAGTTATTTTAAAGAACCAAATATTAGAACATACAAGCAGTTTAATTTGTGATACACAATATGCCTTCAGACGGGGTCACAGTACTACACATTTACTATTGAGAGCCACAGATTTAATCCGTTTGAATCTTAACGAAGGCAAAGTTAATGTTTTGATATCTCTTGATATTTCAAAAGCTTTCAATTCAATAAATTTTTCACTCTTGATTAACAAGTTAAGACACACTTTTAATTTTTCATTGACTGCATGTAAGCTGATACTCTCATACCTTAAGGATAGGACTCAGTTTGTTTCTGTAAATAACTTTAAATCAAATTTGCTTTCCCTTTACAGTGGTGTACCGCAGGGTTCCGTATTGGGCCCGCTATTATTTATCCTTTACGTAAATGACTTACGTGCTTGCATTGACGTGGAATGTTGCACAACATTTCAGTTTGCCGATGATATATTCTTATTATTTACTGGTCGAGGAGATAATTTATCTTTGTTAGAAAATACTATCAACATGTGCCTAAATCAATTTTCAAGTTGGGCATCAGCGAATCATCTAACAGTTAACTCATCTAAGTCCAAAGCACTGTTGTTTGGCATGTCCAAAAATGCATCATCGAACTTAAACATTGTTTTAGGCAATAATATTATTGGTTTTGTTGAACACCATAAAGTTCTGGGTGTTACTATTGATAATGAACTATCGTTTAGTAATCACATTGATATTTTATCTGGCAAAATTTGTTTTTTATTAAGAAGAATATACGCATCAAATTTGTATATGCCTCTTCATGTTAAGAAACAGGTAGCTCATGCATTGCTTATGTCTACCTTTTTATATGGTATTGAGATTGTGTCAGGTTGCATTGGTGGACATCTCTCTCGGTTGCGGAAAATTGTAAATGCAATTGTACGTTTTGTCTATAAGATTCCTTTAAGAAGTCATATTTCTGATTACGTTAAGTGTTTTCTGGGTTGTTCCTTTAACAATTTCATATCTTATCGTATCCTGGTAGGATTTTATAATGTAGTTAAAAATGGTGAGCCTGCATCATTAGCAAGACTTTTTTCCTTTTCACATTCAACCAGAAACCCTCAATTGATTATACCTAGGATATGTAGGAATATTTATGCGCGATCCTTTGTAGTTCGGATTGCACGCGTTTGGAATGTGCTTCCACATGAACTTAGAATATTCTCGCATGCTAATAATGTATTTAAAAGGAAATTGCGAATTCATTTGGCAATGAATTAAAATGATGGACTAATCTAGAGTTGTTGTTGTCTAGGACATTTATATATTTTTCTTTTCTTAATAATATATGGCTGGGGAGCCAAGTAAAAATTATGTATTTTAGTGAAATGAAAGAGTTGTATTATTACTATAAGCTCAGGTTTAATTTTGTAACTAGTAATACTTGTATATGGTCTTATAGGCTTTGTATTACAGAAATGGATGAAATAAAATAAAAAAATAAAAAATAAAATAATGAGTCCCAGTTCGTGTGGCGAGTCATTGTAATTATAGGTCCACGTTTTGGTATAGCCCCCATATAACGATACCTCCCGATATTCGGTAATTTGATGATTTTTGCCAAAATTTTTTCACGGATTTGTCTGAAAATTCGTATTTGTAGGTCATAATGAGTTCAAGCTCCTTTGGCGAAACATTGCATGTGTAGGTTCACGATTTGGTATAGCCCCCATATAACGGTACCTCCCGATATTCGGCATTTTAATGGTTTTTGCCACATTTCTTATAATGTTTTCTTTTCCCTAAGGTGGAGGGTATTAAAAGTTTGGCCCGGCCGAACTTAATGTTTTTTTACTTGTTTCATCTCACCCTGTCTAAAAGCTAAAATATCATCAGTGGAATTTTGTTACGCATGGAACAAAGTCTGCCATATATGTATGTTTCATCCGATTTTACCTTAAAACCTTCTCATTGACATAATAGGATCTCTATAGCAATAATATTTGGCATGGTAGGTTTTCTCCATACAGCATAAAATTCCTTGGAATCCTTGATTATTTTACCAGTAGTCTATGGTTTAACTAATGTGTACTTAATTATCATGTATTAGTATCTCTTACTAATGACCGTATTTTTTCTTTATTCTTCCAGGATGGTTTTGCGCCTCCAGATGAGATTCCACCCGAAGATGAGGAATATTAAACAGTTAAATGAGCCAAGCATGTGTGTTGCGGTGTGTTCTCTTTATGATTTCTTTTCGTTTAGTCTATCAGAAAAAAACTTTACCTCTTGTTTGTTTTCTTTTTGTTTCGTACACCGAAAAAGCCCCATAATAAAATGATTGTAGTTTCTTAATATTCTCAATACACAAAAAATAAGAAACAAACAATTGCAAAAGAGCTACAACAACAAAGATGTTGAACATAAGTTGAACTTTTTTTTGCTAAACTTTGAGAGCTGAAAAGAAAGAAAGAAAGAAAAGAAGAAGGAGAGATACGCAATAAAACGAACAAAACAACTTTACCCTTTCATTTAGCTTATACACATCAGAACAAAAACAAACAAAAAAGAGAGTAACAATTTTTATTATAACAAAAAATAAACGTAAAAAATATGCAACAAAACTATAAAAATGGACACATATGGCGATTAAGATAAAACCAACACCTTATATATCTGTCATTCTTTCTTTGATGCACACACATCGTCAAATATTGCAAAAAATAACATTTCTTTTACAAATGCTCAAACCCCCCTTTAAACACTTTTTTGTCGTCTATAATTCTTTTCTCTTACTATTATTATTACTTTTTTGTAATATTTTCCCAAAATGAAATGCAAACAAACAAAGCGAAAAAGAAAACACCTTAAACAACAATGTATTTTAATTATTTTATTTTAAGTATGACTCATTTCTATATTTAAAATTATAAACAAAAAGAAACAAGACCTTATTACTCGAATCTTTAGACACTATCGCCAGTCAGTCATTATTTTAATTTTTAAATTATAAGTTTAAAAATTATAAAATAATCCACAACACTAGCCTAACAACTATGAAGGATTTTATTTAATTTAATTTCTTTTTTTGATTTGGCCTTTACAAATATTTTTTAAAAATTAGTAGTTGAAAAGAATAATAAAAATAATAAATAATTTTTTAATATATTTACACTGAAAATCAACAACAAAAACATTGAGATATGTTTGACAATTTTATTGAGCCATTTTGAGTTGAAACAATTTATGTGTTTATTTTTTTAAAGATGCATTTAATAAAGAAGCCTCCAATAGTTTTATGTTTTTCTCCACAGTAACTTGTTAACAATGCCTTTGGGTCGTGTTAATTATATTTTGATAAGAAACAAACATCATCCCTTCTGTTTATCCTAACCTAAATTTATATTTTATAGTTTGTCTTTTTCAAGACAAATTGTTTGATCAATAAAACGAAATGATATTTAAAAAAAAGAAAGAAAAACGATTTCCCTTATTAACTGAGTTGCAAGAAAATGCAAGCACATCCCGTTTGTTTTCAATTTATAGTTGATTTGAAACATTCTTGTGTAGCAATTGAAGGTAGATTATTCGGACACCTGCTTGCCCTTTTTGGAATCAATCCAGGCGCATAATCGACATTTAGCTGTCGCACGAAAGTTGAAAATTATCTCAAGTTGTTTAGAATCGAATATATATATAAAACAATATTTACATTATCTGCTAAGAATTGAGTTAATAATGAATTGATATTTTGCTATATAAGCAAATATGTGCATGTATATATAAATTTGGATATTGTTTTTTCCCACAAAACAAAAACGAACATAACAAATATCATATAAAATAAAAGTGATGAAGAGTTAAATCATAATTTTGGATGTTCTTTTACTGTCATAGTTTTTAAAAACATGGCGGGGACAAAGACATGTGGTGGAATGGTTTTAATAGATTAATGTTATATTTGCATGTGTTTAAGAGGAGATTCCAAAGAAAAACTTGCGATTTCAAGGAACGTTTCTTTCAGAATTCTTTAAAAGGCAAGATAAACCTTTTTAATTCACGATTTGTTTTTACTAAGTTGCTACAGTACCGGTGCAAATTTTCAGCTGACCTCTTTGGGAAGTAAACACGACCATTTTGTTTGTTTACAAACTGCTTTACAACGAATGTTTTCTCATCGGAGAAAACCAAATTTGGGAGTTCACCACTTTCTGCCAAGCTAAGCAACTCTTTAGCACTTTTGCGACTATTTTCTTTCTGCTGCGGTGTAAATTCTTGCACTTTTTGGAATTTCAAAGGCTTTATCCCGAGCTCATTTTTCAATATTTGCCGAATGGAATATTGCGATATGTTCAGCCATGTCACGAGCCATTTTTCGGCCACTGCGACGTGGGTTTCGAAAAAGTCGCTTCTTTACTTTTCGAACCATTTCTGCTGATGTTGCTGGTTTCTTCCGTCCAATTCCTTGAAACCGGGCTACGCTACCAGTATCAGTGTCACGGTAACGAGCATTTAAATGCTGGAGTGCTCTAACGATAGCCACTTGCGTTTTTCCAGCCAAATATAAACAAATCACGCTTGGATTCCATCACGAATAATTTCAATCAGTGCATTCATTCTACGCTATGCGGAGCATCCATGAAACTTTTAGGGCCTTTAAAGACCTCTTAAATAGATCAGATTCTACTCTATCTACAACTGTATATTCTAAAAATAGCAAATCGAACCACTGGAATTGTCTAAATTATAGAGATATTTTACGACATTAATAAATTCTCAAAATATTCAACTTTATTTAACAATAACTAATTGTACATACAGCTTGACTACAAATATGTAAATGCTTATTTAACAGCTTCCTGAATGTGCTTTTGTTTGTGGGTACCATCACAGAAAGGACGATGTTTGGTTTGTTTGCAATTGCACAGCCAATAGTCTCCGGTCTTCTCCACCTTGAAACGTATGGGTCTCAGTTTAATTTTCAAAAATTCATCTTTATGCATTCCATCGCAAATGGGTTGTCGTTTCGATTTGCCGCATAGACACCAACTGTATACTTTATCTAAAAAATACGAAACATTAATTGAAAAAGTTAATTATTAATTTCTCTATATTCAATACTTAGGCACAATCACTTTTTGAAGGTTATGTAAAACATTTTACTATTTCTTATGTGGTTGAGCAAGTATCACAAAGCAATTCCTTTCACTTTTTTTCAATTACCTTTGTCCAAATGAATCTTGAATGGTTTTTTGTCAAATATGGCACCGTTTTCAGCTTGTAAATGAGCTGTTTGATTTCCTTCTAAGACATTTTTTGGTATAGTTTTAGTTTCTCCAGTTTCCTTTTTGCCGGCAGCACAATAAAAACGTTGCTGTAACAGAATTTATATAAAATTAATAGTGCCACATACGTTGTACTTAAGAGGATATATTACCACAAGTCCTATTGTGGGACGAATATCTCTTTTTAGCGCTATAGAAAACATCCTTTCTGTTGGAAATTTTATTCTCACAAACCCAGTTTCTTCTTCTTATTAGAAAAGACAATGTTGGCTAGTTAATTATCATCAGCTGTTTAAAAATAAGGGATATCTATTCACTTGGCATAGCATTTGGTAATAGTAAAGTAAGAAGAAGAATGTAATTTTAATCTTCTTCGTTTCCACCTTTTTCAACATTTTAAAGCAAGAGTTTTTGAACATTTTATTGAAATAATGCTTTTGCATTTGTGCTTATTAAATTTTTTGAAGTATTCAATATTATTTTGCGAATTTTTGGAATAAATTCGTTGGGCCGTTTTTACAAATGGCCGTTATTTCACAATTTAATAGAGTGCTTACACACAAAGTACATGGTACAATTAAAAAGGTAAAGTCATGCAATCATATGTTTGTCAAAATTTATATTAATAAATCCATTGCATACACAAAAATCAGAGATGGGAACCTCTTTTTTGTTCGGTAAAATTTGACAGGGTAAATTACAGAAAATGCAGAGCTTGATATGCTTATTTTAAATGACTAACCTTCTTGATTTCACCATGACACAAATAATTCCGGATTAAATCCTTACTTACCAGATATCATATTTTGATTAAATGCATTTATATTGTAGTTTAGGCGTCGGTATAAAGCAGACGTTAAGGGTATAAATGTAAACCGGAACAAAGTTATAAGAACTTTTTTTAGTTATTAGAAAATCGCGAAAAATGAATGCAACGTCGAGAATTATTCATAGTATCGAAATACATTAACAATTCTTTTTCATTTCATATTTTATTTTCTCGAAGAAAAAATTGTTGTAATTATGGCGTTCATGTGTCACACCATGGTAGAAGAATACAGGTAGTCGCATCGACACAGCTGCTGGGACAATGAACTGTCAAACCGATTTTGGAATTGAAAATTTTGAATGAAAAATTATTATAATTTGTAAAAGTTGTTGAAAAATTCATATTATAACAACCTCTGATTTGCGTCGTATAAAAATAAATTAAAAAATACACTCATTTTTCATAAAACATTTTAGAAATTTTGACATATCAATGTTTCCAAGCGTTGATGCATCTACCTATATTCTTCTACCATGTGTCACACGATATATGTTACATTCGCAGTACACCTTTTCCATATTCTTTCTCTTAAAAACAGGTTTGTCTAGTTACTCTTCCTCATGGTAGAAGAATATAGGTAGATCCAACAACGCTTGAGAATATTAATATGTCAACATTTTTAAAGTGTTTTGTCAAAAAATGAGTATATAAGTATATTATAAGTTTTCCTATACGACGCAAATCGGAGGTTGTAATGATATGTATTTTTCAACACTCTTTACAATTTTCAATAATTTTTCATTCAAGATTTTCAATTCCAAAATCGGTTTGACAGTTCATTGTGCCAGCTATGTCGACGCGACTACCTGTATTCTTCTGTGTTCCTGTAAGAAAACCCTAAGAAATTAAACGGAAATCCTTGTAAAAAGCTTTTCAATTTCCAAAATAAAGATGTTTATTGCCTCATAGTTCCAAGTGATTGCAAGAAGAAAATTTATCCAGCATGCATTTGCAAACTCACAGTAAAAGAACTGTCTCTCGATCCACTCTCCTTTAAAGAACTATTGTGTTAACAGGCGACTTCCAGTCACGATTTGCAGTAATTTTAGAAAATATGATAACCATTTCAAATTTACAAATTTGATGGTAACCAGAAACATATGTTCTTTACCTCAAACGTAGTACAATAAGAAGGTAGAACAGCTTCGTAGAACTACAGAAATACAGCCCGCTTCCTCATTTTTAAATGAGTTAAATAGCGCGAAAAAATCAATGAAATGACTGGATCTTCTTTAAAAAATAAGATCTAAGCTGTTCAATATTTAATTCAATGGTATAACTGGTTAGTAGCTTTAACGCACGCCCTGCAACGTATGTTTTTTCCATGGTAGAAAAAAGAAAAATATAAACCAATTTTGAAATTTAAAATGTTGAATGAAAAATTATTTAAATTTGTAACAATTGTTGAAAAGCGCGAATTATAATAACCTCCAAATGACGTCATATAAGAAATCATATAAAAATTTACTTATATTTGAAAAAAAAAAAACATTAAACAATTTTTTGACATATCAATGTTTCTAAGCGTTGATGCATCTACCTGTATTCTTCTACTATGTTTTTTGTTTTGTTTTTTTTTTTTTCAAAACCATAAAAACATACACGAAATTGGTAGAAGTCAGGCACACTTAGAAAAAAAAATTGTAATCAACTGGTAGCTCTACCTCATCTTTTCATTGCACCATGACCTCAAAAACATTGTACAATATATCGATATGGCAACATTGCTTTCTATTTCCGTTAAACGTCTTTGTAAATTCAAATGAAATTTCATTTTAAATAAATTTAAAAATTGTATCTTTTTTTATAAATTTGTTTGCTTATATTGCGCTGTATAAACTTCGAACACAATTCCAATAATATTTATTTTGAGAGTGGGAGAAAAAAACGAAAAATATGCGAGTCCTGGACGTTTCTCGTGTCTGTAATTCATAACAATAACAAGAACAACATGCCATCATAAGAGAATTGAGCAAAAACAAATCAAACAAATGCTCGCAAGAAGACACAAGAAAACTTATTTTTAATTTAAGAAGAACATTTTCACATAATTCGCCCGCAACAAAATCAGACGTTTACCGACAACGAACGCGAGCGGAACAAGAAGATCGTGACCAAGAAGAATTACAGAAACAGTATAGCGTACGGAACAAATCCGATAGTGTGTGTGCGTGCGGGTGAAAGTGTGTGCGTTTGCATCGGTGTTACCACAAAGTAGACAACAGGGAGCTACTAGATCGATCACACACTCACACACACATACCATATATTCAACGTCGGTTGTGTCCCATACATATATTTCTATATTTATTATTAACGACGGCGAATACATTAATTCATTTTCCCCAAATTCTATTCGAATAGTGGAAAAGACAATTAATTGTTTCACAAAAAAATTAATCGATATTCCGCCCTCTTTCGAAGTAACAAACCCTCAAGAGATAAAACGAATTTTTGAATAATTACTATGTAATTTAAGTGAAAAAGAACAGGAAAGAAAAGGAAAACAACAAGAAAAAAAACAAGCACAAAAAGTTTGTGAGAAACAATTTAAAAATAGATCTACTCTAAACCTCAGGTCATTATCATTTGCTACCCAGAAACCAACAGCAGGAAGTTCAAGTTTTCAATTTACCTCAAAGCATCCCAATAAAGTTCAACGAAAATGTCTGGAGATGTGCAACCACGTAAACGCAAGGACAAGAAGAAGAAACGTGGTAAGTTAGTTAATATCCCTTTCTTCCCCTTAGATCTATTTCAGTATCCGATAAACTTTCGAAACATATGGATGTAGAATTTAAGTCTAATATTTCGAATTTAAAAAAAAATGTATAGTTTCTTTATTTTTTCTTCTCAAATGACTGATTTTACTTTCCGTATGCGCCCTATTATATAAAAAATATTTTTGGTACTTTTTTAAGTTTTTATGAAAATTATATTTTTAATTTTCATCACACACATTCTATATTTTCTGATGGCTGATATTGATGTTGTTGTTGACATTGCGTTGTGTGTTTTTCTTTTCGTCCACTTTTCATTTAAATCGAGAAAGTGTGAGAGAAACTAGAGAGAGAAAGGCATGTTGAGAACGTTGTTTTCGTAGAGTGTTGCCAAAAGAGAAACCAACGAAAGAAAATGATTTATTTTTTACCGTTGTTTTTCCCGCCAACTTGTGGTCAAAGTAACGATTAACGGTAACGTTTATTGTGTAAATGGTATATCGTTTCCCGTCAGAGTTGCCGTAGTAAAGATAAGTACTTGAAAAGTTGGTATAAAATTCCCTAAAGGAGTTCATGTGTAATTTTGTTCCAAAACGTGGGAATGCATTTAATAATCAAAAGGACTGACTGGTTATACCTTGTAATACTTTTTTAACGTTGTCAAAAATTTCCTGGTCAATAATCCCTTCAAAATGTCTTTTTACACCAAAATAAAAGTGAATCTAAATTAAAGCTATTGACTTTATAAACGTCAATTTTTGTCATAACTCATATTTGTGTGTCCACGATAAAGACGACTATATAGTTCTCCTTATACTTTTGGCAAATTTCCATTTGCAAATGATTTGCAACATTCTCCTCAATGTAAGAAGACAATGTTTATATTTTCCCTTTCTTTGTTTTGTGCGGCTTTTTTTGTTTTTCTATATTATCATTATTGTACACAAAGGAATTAAGAATGTATATACATACATACGCATATACAACGGCAGCATAATCTCACAGAGGTTTAATGTTTTTGAATGCCTATCAATGCGTATTCTGAAATAAAAGAATATTTACGTTTTTGATTTGAAATGTAAAGTAAATTTTCATTTGCCAGGTTTTAAAATGCGACGTACTCAGTTGGTGTTTTTCCGCACACAATCTAAACACAAACACAAAATATAAACGAATAATAAAAGATGTGCATATTTGTAATTGAAAAATAATAACGACTTTATTATTTGATAGATTTGTAGATTTATTATTTGGTAGATACCATGGTAGAATAATATAGGTAAATGCATCAACGCTTGGGAACGTTAATGTGTCAAACAATTTAAAATGCTTTTTTTTTCAAATATAAGTAGATTTTTATATGTTTTCTTATATGACGTTAATCGGAAATTATAATAATATACGTTTTTCAACAATTTTTACAAATTTGAATAATTTTCCATTCATAATTTTCAATTCCAAAATTGGTCTAACAGTTCATTGTCCCATCAACTGTGACGATGCGTCTATTCTTTTACCATGGCAGATACCATGGTACAAGCTTCGTAAAACTACAGAAATACAGCCCTGAGGCTATGCCCTCTTCCTGTCAGACTCATCCCAAATTATATGCAACAAGTTGTTTTCATGTTTTCCCTCATTTTTTAAATAGCGCGAAAAATAAATGAAATGTCTGGATTTTCGCTCAAAAATATAATGCAAACTGTTCAATCTTTCAACGTCACAGCTAAACTGGTAAATAGCTTTAATGCGCGAGCCGCAATCTAGATTATCTTGGCAAATTTTGCCAATTTAAATTCGGATTTTAGGATTTCTTTCGTCTTTTGCCTCTATCGGTTTAAGAACTTAAGAAAACCATAGTCTTAATACATAAAACGCTTTTTTTAACTGGCTTAAGTCCTCGGCTGGCTTCTTCGGGAAAGAACGAAAGAGCGTAGGCCCAAAATCGAACTAAGTCAATCTAAAACTTCTTTTGTTCCTCTACGAAAAAGCCAGCCGCTGACTTAAGCCAGTCAAAACAGCCTTTTATGTATTATCGCTTTTCCAATGAAAAGATTACAATTGAGACGATGCGTTTCTTATATCACGTTTACATACAAATTGATAAATCTCAAAAAATTTAACGCATTTTTAGGGTTGATCCTGGTTATGTTAGCTTACTTTTAGCCACTTCTTTATTTTTGTGGCTAACTAATCGACAATTCAAGACTACAATAGGTATGTCGGGTTACTTTTCCTGCAGGAATTGTCCAGTATTTTCTTTCTGAGAGTAAAACTGTTTTGTTTTCTTTTGCATGAAAACTGTAAAAGTAAACAGACGCATTAACTGCAAAAACGTCATGGTAGAAGAATACAGATAGTCGCATTGCCACAGCTGCTGCGGCAATGAACTGTTAAATCAATTCTGAAACTGAAAATTTGGAATGAAAAAAATATTCAAATGCGTTAAAATTGTTGAAAACTACTACTACTTATTTTTGAAAAAAAAAAAAAAAATTTTAAATTTTTGACGCATCAATGTTCCCATGGTAGATAGTCCCATCGACGCAGCTGCTGGGACAATGAACTGTCAAACCAATTTTTGAAGAAAAATTTTTAAATGAAAAATTATTAAAATTTGTAAAAATTGTTATAAAACGCATTTTATAAGAAAATCAGATTGACGTCCTATAGGAAAACACATACAAATTTACTTATTTTTGAAAAACATTTTTAAAAATTTGACACATCAATTTGACCAAGCGTTGATGCATCTTCCTTTATTTTTCTACCATGAAAAACGTGCAAGTGATCAGCTGGTTTATCTAAACAAAACAATTTGCCCGCCGATAAAAGCAGATAAAAATAAAAAAGCCGAAAAACAAAAGAATTAGGATTGCTATTTTATTAAGGTGAGAGTAAATAAGCAGCTTCATGTTTTCGCATGGCAAAATTTGTGTCTTATCATAAAGGGATTCCAGAGCCGCACTCGAACCCTGCCGTCGTTTTTCTTTATAATTTGACATTAATATGCCTAGCCATGATGTCAACCTGCTTATATACTCACACCTTTATGTTATGATCATGGCAAAATTATACAAGGTTACCTCATGATAACATGTAATATACATATTTGTCATAATATTTTATTGACAACATCCATTTTTAAACTAAAATGAAAATGCCATTGTGAAAAAATGCAGTGACTACCAGTTACTTTTACAAAAAGCTTGGCATATCTCTGGCTTATTTAATAATGAAAACCCGAAAATGTGAACTTTATCCTTTAGTAGGGGATAACAAAACTGCACTATAAAGAAAAGATAGAAGAACGGGCCTATATCTTTGATTATAATTAAGACAAATCATGTTTATAATTAAGACAAATCATGTTTAAAATTTAAAGTACGTTGAAACCATGGCACTTGCACCATGGTTTACAAATGGTACAATAAATAGGTAAGGCAATGGCTACCAGCTGATTACAATTTGTTTTCAATGGTGAGAGCTTCAGTTCTTCGCATGGCATATTTTGTGACATATCATAAAGGAATGCCAGAGACGCACTCGAATCTTGTTGTCGTTTTTTTTCTTATAATTTGATTTTAATATGCCTAGCCATGATGCCAAGCTGCTTATGTAACTTAGTGTGCCCGACTTCTGCTAATTTTGTGTAATGTTTTAAAAAACAAAATATGTTCAAAATCAATAATTGGAAGAAACTTACATTGCATTTAGATATAAACCAATTTTGCCATGAAGATTGAAGTGTTTGGATCATATTTTTTAAAGAAGTTCCAGGAATTTCAATCATCTTTCGTCTTTTTAAAATATTTTAAAAATGGAGAAAAATACAACGTTAATCAAAACAATTTGTTGCATATAACATTGAATATTACTGACAAAAAAGTGGGCATAGCCTCATGGCTGTATTTCTATAATTTTACAAAGCTGTTCTACCTCCATATTGTATCATGCGTTTACACTTACTTAATTCAGTGGATTTCAACTCTAAATTCCATTGCGTAGACGTGAAATGAAATTGACTCTCACATCCAACGAATTTCATGTGACGTAAACGCAATATAATTGACAATTTGAATTCACTGGATTTGTTATGTGTTTTAATTCCAAAACGTATATAAAACATATTAGAGTTAACAGTAAAAACACACTGGATTTCGTGTATGTAAACATGCGTTTGTAGACAACGTTTACAATGAAAGGCTGGATTGTGTAATTTTACCGCAATAAAAGACTAATGTAAACGTAGTCTAAGGGAATAAAAACATGTTCACATAAAGGCGATTCAGTGGATTTTAAATGTCAATTTCATCTGAAAGACACTCGTTTTTGTGTCAAACTAATATAAGGTTATAGTTCATTAAATAATTTTCCATCCGTTCGTAATACATGAATCTATATAATATCCATAAATCGAAGAGCATTATTTTTGTACTTTAATATTAACATAATATTTCTTATTTCTCTGCTACTGACAAATAGAATCTCTTGACTATCGCAAATCAGAGGGTGAATTGATTTTTTCACGAAAATCGAGTTTGCAAGGTAGTTCATTCATTAAAATAAATTAATATTATATTTACCCTTTGCCAGTTAAACAATATTGAAATCCCAGCACCATATTTTTATTTTGGTTTAATTTGTTGTATTTTGAATAAGCTGCGAAGCATATAAGTGAACGGAATCAGCTGGATTTGATGCGACCTTCAGGGCGAGAGTGCATAAATGGCTTTTTTGACTGGCTTCTTTGTAGAAGAACAAAGGAGTTTTAGGTTGACTTAGTCCCATTTAGGCCCTACGCTCCTTTGTTCTTTTTTCAAATAAGCCATCCGATGACTTAACCCATTCAGAAAAGTGTTTTATGTGCTCTCACCTTTAAGGTCAAAACAGACCAATGTTTGAATCGTAACTTTGACGCGAAACGTAAAATTACAACACTGTTATCAGCCACAAATTACAACAGTGTTGCCATTTGGCACGATTTAAGATTTGATCGGTATTGATCTGGGGCTGGATTCTTGTTCTATGAAAATATGAAATGAAAAATATTTCCTTTATAAAATTTTTCTTTTGACATTTCTTTCCTTCATAAAAGTTTTCATTTTACATTTTCATAAAACAAGAATGGAGGCCCTAGACGCATTTTTTCCTAAAATGCAAAGGATGAAAGATTTAGTCCAAAGCTTACTGCACTTTATTATATTCTTCCTAGCACGGAAACGGAGCATTCCCTTGCTTTCTTTTTATATAAGTCCTTGTTTCTTGCATTCCTTCTGATCCTATGAATTTTTCATATTTCCTATCCACTGCTTTTTTCAGATTCTATAATGCTTTTTTCAATTCAAATAAATAATATGCTCCCAATTTTTATCAAACAGATGATGAATCCTCTCACGGAGTACACATTACAAAAATGTCATCGGATGATGTACACTTACATGTACATCATGAACATGGCACTGGTGGACATTGGTGTGCCAAGATAATCTTCTTTTCATTGATGACCGTACTTTTGGGTCTGGTATGTTTGATTATAATGGAAAATCGTGGCATATCAGATGGTAAGTTTTTCGATCTCAGGCCAATTTTCTGAGGGCAATAAATAATTTTGAATTTTATTTTTTAGTTGATACACCATTATCGGAATCAAGATTTTCAAATTATTTTGATGGCTGGGTTGATGAACATCGTCCCGACGATGATCACCATGATGATGCCCATGGCTCGTTAGAAGATCACGACGATGATCACGATGATGAACATGATGATGAACCGTTTGAAGAAGAACCTGATGTCTCAGAGGGCGAAGAAGCCGATGAGATAGCCGAAGATGAAAATGTAACTCAGGAAGAAGCCGAAGAGGCTGATGAAGATGATGATGAAAATGTAACAGCCGAAGATGAAAATGTAACTGGTGAAGATGTGGATGCTGATGAAGAGGAGGGGGAAGAGGAAGATGATAATGAAAATGTTACAGCCGAAGAAGACAATGTCACAGCTGAGGAAGATGAAAATGTCACAGCTGAAGAGGAAAATGTTACAGTTGAAGAAGAAAACGTAACAGCTGAAGAAGAGGAAGAAGCAAATGTCACCGCTGAGGACGAGTATGAAGCTGACGATGAAGATAATGCTACAAATGAAGATAACATCGATGAAAATGTTACTCGCGAATCATCAAAACCTGTTTCCAAGGGAAGGGCTGACGATGACGAAGACACATTTGAAGATGTAAGTTTTAAATCTTGATATATTCTAACTATTTCCAAACATATTCTCGAAGATCAAAAAAGATGAAACGCAAAAATTGGAATAAATCTCAATTGAATCTTTGAGCAATTTGATTTAGAACTTCGTTTATGACGATACTATTTTTCGTGATATATCTAATATGGCTATCCTATGTTCAAGTCCAAATCATTTCTAAGGTGAGAACATATAGAGCATGTTGTTTTACTGGCTAGCATCTACCTAAGTCAACCTAATGGTGAGAATACATAAAAAGCTTTTTTGACTGGCTTAAGTCATCGCCTGGATTCTTCGTAAAGAAACAAAGAAGTTTTAGGTTGTCTTAATTCGATTTTGAACCTAAGCTCCTTTGATATTTTCCGAAGAAACCATCCCATGACTTTAGCCAGTCAAAAAAGCTTTCTATGTATTCTCACCTATAAATTTCTTTGCTCTTTTACGGAGAAGCCAGCCGATGACTTAACTTTTAGGTTAACATAGTTCGATTTCGACTCATAATTAAACTTGTTCACCTCTTGATTATATGTTCTCCTACAAAGAAACCAGTCGATGACTAAGCCAGTCAAAACATCTTTTTATGTATTCTCACCCTTAAACTTCTTTGTTTTTTACCAAAAAGCCAGCCGATGACATGAGTTTTAGGTTTCCAACCATAATTAAACTTGTTCACCTTTTGAGCATTTCGATGACATGAGTTTTAGGTTTCCAACCATAATTAAAGTTGTTCACCTTTTGAGCATTTGTTCTCTTACGAAGAAGCCAGTCGTTGACTTAAAGTGAGACTACATAAAACGCTTCTTTGACTGTCTTAAGTCATAGGTTGGCTACTTCGTAGAGGAATAACGGAGTTTTAGGTTGACTAAGTTCCATTTTGTCCCGCCGCTCCTTTAATATTTTCTGAAGAAAAAAGCCAGCCAATGACTTAAGCCAGTCAAAAAATCCATTTATGTACTCTCACCTTTAAGCCAGTAAAGAAAGCTCTTTACGTAACTGCAACCTAATAAAAGATTAAAGACCCACCGAATCTATATTTCAATTCGACTCCAAATATTTTATCTGAAATAACTTATGCGCGTTTAGACTACAAAATCCGTTCGATTTTAAATATCAATTCGATAGCGTATGCGTCACGTAAATCGTCATTAATCCAGTGGACATTACTTGACGTATCGCAATTGAATTGACATTTGAAATCCAGTGGATTTACACGATAACCCCTCCATAACGACCAATTTAAAAAGCATGCATGTAAATACTACTTAACCCAATTCTATTGTGATTGAATTGTCATCAAGTTGTCAAAAGCTGTCAAAACCTGAGATTTTAAAAGGTAAAGTGTCAAATTCAACGGATATAATATTTGACGTATTCGCAATGGAATTGACAGCTGAAATTCAATTAAATCCACAATTAAAGCTAGAGCCGTGTTTACACTTTACTGTATCTGCAACATTTAACTCATAAAAAAGAAAGGGAACGAAGTAATAGATCAAATAAATTGTTACTTTGTTTCTTTTCTTTTAATACTGATGAAAGTTGCAAATGTAGTATGGTGAAAATACGGATAAGATTCTGCAATGTAAACGTAGTCTAAATAGTCTGACAGAAACCGGACATAGCCTCAGGACTGTATTTCAGTAGTTTTACGATGATGTTTTACCTCCATACTTTACCATGTATTTACCTAAATACCATGGTAGAATTAAGAAGGTAATGCCATGTAATCACATATTTATTTGACATCTTATTGTCAACATTTATATTTATCAAACCATTGTAAATTGAACATTTAGACAAACATTTCTAGACAGTGAAATTTGACAAGTTAAATAATAGAAATGCAGAGATGGATATGCTTATTTCAAATGACTTTACCTTCTGAATTCTACCAAATATATTAAACATTTGAAAATCACCAATCGGATTGGAGTTTTTTTCCTTTCCATTATTTAGCCATCGCGTCATTAGTGTACGACTAGGTTTTTTATACAATTTTTGGTTTATTAACAACTAATACATTAACTGAATAGTCTTGTCATTTGTAAACACAACATAAATTCATTATAACGTTGGAAACATGGTAGAAGAATACAGATAGTCGCATTAACACAGCTGATGGGACAATGAACTGTCAAACCAATTTTGGAATTGAAAATTTTGAATGAAAAAATATTTAAGTTTGTAAAAATTGTTGAAAAACGCGAATTATAATAACCTCCGAATGACGTCGTATAAGAAAATATCTCAAATCTATTTATATTTAAAAGAACATTAACATTGACATATCAATGTTCCCAGACGTTGATGCATCTACCTGTATTCTTCTACGAAAACTCTCCCATCGCCACGATTTCGATTATGTTTACATTGGAGACTTTTAACGTGATAATTAAGCTCAATGTAAGCATGACATTCTGCAACAGATTTTGATCCGCTTTGCAACGCTAAAAGTTTTTTTAAACAAACAAAAGTATATTAAACAAATCTATTTACATCTATTTAGGATGAAGAAGACACAAATATGGATTCTATTGAGAATATTGTCGATAATGATGCTGCCGAATTGGAGCTATTAAAAGAGAAAGCTCGCCAACAGGCTGAAGCTGAGGCTAAAAATAATCCAGCCTCAATTGAAAATGACGAAAATGAAGAAGAATTGGCAACTTCATGGGCATCGTCACGTAAGTTTGACACTGTAGTTGTAGATGGTTATGTTGGGCAGGCAATAAAAATGACAAATGGGCATGGGTATAAACAAGCAATGGGGGAATGAGAGAGTTAAGGGGAAGGCACATAAGCGATGTGGTATTTCGTGGCAGCCAGTTCGTTTACTTTAAATTTATTACGGTGTGAGATAAAAAAACTGCAACAAAGTCAAACGACATAATTTTTTGTTTTTTAAATTTTATTGAATGAAAGCAAAAAACGTCGGAAATAGCATCAAATTTTAGAATAAGTTTAGATTTGTTCAAAGAGTTCACCTTTGGTACGAAATATGGCCTTCAAACGGCCAATTAAACCGTCACATGCTGCCCGAATGTTACTCTGCGGTATTTTGGCCCATTCCCGGCGAAGCTCTTGCTTTAGGTGATCGACACTTTGGTATTTTTTAGTGCCAACCTTGTTTTCCAATATACTCCAGACACAATAGTCAAACGGATTGGTATCAGGAAATGAAGCGAGGAACCTCATTTTATCAACATTCTTGGGTGGTGCATGCTGAGTGCGATGGTGTTGAGTTCTGTTGGAATGTCCAAGGTCTGCAGCCTTTAATACACCCTCCAGAATATTTTCGCGATAATATTCGGCATTTATTCTGATGTCACGGCCGATTAATATGAGCGGAGAGCGACCATCGGCTGTTATGGTGGCCACATCATCACCATGACCGGCGCTTGAGTTCTGGTGGCCAGCCGAAGGTGCACATTTTCAGCCGACCTCTTAGGCAAGTAAACACGATCATTTTTGTTTGTTTACAAACTGCTGGACAACGAAGGTTTTCTCATCGGAGAAAACCAAATTCGGCAGTTCACCTCGAAAGCGAAGCAACTCTTTAGCTCTTTCGAGTCTATTTTCTTTCTGTTGCGGTGTAAGTTGTTGCACTTTTTTGAATTTCAATAGCTTTACCCCGAGATCATTTTTCAATATTTGCCGAATGGAATATTGCGATATGTTCAGCTCACGAGCCATTTTTCGGCCACTGCGACGCGTGTTTTGATTAAGGCGCTTCTTTACTTCTCGAACCATTTCCGCTGGTGTTGCTGTTTTCTTCCACTTCACGGTAACTAGCGATGGTATGAGATTTATTCACATTTAAATGCGGGAGTGCTCAAGTTGGTTGCAGTTTTTTCATCTCACCCTGTATTTTACCTTGAACTTATTACACAAAGAAAGGAGTTGCTTATTTGTCTCTCCTTTTATGCCGCTATCATTTTTAAATTGATAATTGGTCTATCAGGATACATTTGAAGTGTACTTCCTAAGCTTAAGATGCCGGTGTAGCGATCGTTGTGGAAAACGTTTACCGAAAAACATTTTATAATGATAATTACTTAGTAATTTATTTTTTAGCGTAGTCGCCCGTACAATGTGCATCCAAAAATGGAGGTTATCAATTATATCGTCACAATAAATTGTTGTTATGTCCGACATGGTAGAAGAATACAGGTAGATGCATCAACGCTATTGATATGTCAGAAAAATTAAAATGTATTTTCAAATATAAGTAGATTTTTATATGTTTTCTTATACGACATCAATCGGATATTATCATACTACGCGTTTTTCAACAATTTTAACGACTTTGAATAATTTTTCATTCAACATTTTCAATTCCAAAATTGGTTTGACAGTAGTTATCCTAGCAGCTGTGTCGATGCGTCTACCTATATTCTTATACCATGTATGTCCGATATGCGCACTTTGTTATAACAAAGTGTTCCGTCACGATTTATTTGATATAAACCTTACATTAAATTACCATTATAAACTACTTTTGTGTAAACGTATTCTAAAACGATCGCTACACCGGCATCTTAAGTTGGCTACACACTATCAGTTTTGGATGGTTGAATTTTTTTTCTTTGGTTAGTGAGTCAAGCGAACTGTGTGCATCAAACGCCTTTTTTAGTAACGTGTGAACTTAGTATAAAATGATGACTTTTAACGCACATATCATAATAGACGCCGTAGAAGTAAATATATAAATGTCAAATTTGTTTTTAAATTAAGATTACCATTAGTTTACATTTTAAGAGTTTTGTACAAGCCTAGATTAGACAAGAAAGTGCAAATATTAGCAATAGAAGAAAACAAATAGAAATAGTTATGAACTCCACTCACATTTGTATTTAAAACACTATTTTTGCAGTGACATTAAAAATTGGCATTGGCCTGGCCCTAGCGTTAGTTGCGCGTCTAGTCTTGCTTAAGAAAACACCAGTTACAAGTGAGTTTTTGAAGTTCATTTCAAATGTTCGTTTTTTTATCAATGTTCGTTTAATCTTTGCCATAATAATACAGTCAGTCATAAAACAGTGGAGACTATGCGCTTGAAAATTACAAGCTTAAAGCTTCTTGTCTAAATTTCTATTTAACCTAAATTAGAAAAACAAAACAAACCACACTGACTCGATTAGAATGGGGCCGTTGGGCATTGCCTTAAGCCTGGTGTTAGGAAAAGCTCAGGCGTCAATGCAACGCTCAACAGACCTATTCTTCTCGGGCGGTGTAATAAACTATTCTCATTGCATTCTTTATGTCCGCATGTAAATGTTGTGGATTAGTATAAATATCAATGGAAAAAAACTTATCAGGACTAATACAAAGTGAAAATATATAACTAATTTGCTGTTGTATAAAATCTAGTCTTTCTTCTATTTCAAAATTTTGCACTTTCTTACACCACTAATACCACTTTAGTTATTGTTTTACAAATTGTAAAAAAATATAAAATTGATTTTTTATTTTTTATAGTTTTTGAATTATTTAATATTTTATGCTCGCACCATTATACCGCTAAAAGCCATTGTGTATGTATGTATGCTGCCATTGTGTAATTATAAATGTTAACATTTTTGTTATTGTTGACATTGAAGCGTAAATTTAATTAAAATTTATTATTTAAACATTTTTAAAATCTAAACACTTTTAAAGACGATGAGGATCCAGCCGCTACCGAAATCCTTATGAAACGTCGTCTTACCATTGCTTCACCCGAAGAAGAAATACCGGAGGATGCCAACGATATGGATGAATATTTACCTGAAAATGGTTAATTATAATCGAGAAAAAGTTTTGCAAAGAGAAAATGGCATGGACCTGAATATGTGTTTTATAATAATCAGTAAAATTAATGTTTGACGAAGGCTAGTATCATAAGGCCACACAGGAGCTGAATTCAGGCTTTGACCTTATAGTGATATCAACTGTTTTTTTGTAAAAACAGAATCAAAGGTTAAAGGTGAGAGTACACAAAGCGCTTTTTTGACTGGCTCAAGTCATTGCCTGGCTTCTTAACAAAAAAAACAAAGGAGCGTAGGGTTAACAAGCATAAATTATGGGCCGAAATTGAACTAAGGCAACCTAAAGTTCCTTTGTTTTTTTACTAAGAAGCCAGCCGATGACTTAAGCCAGTCAGAAAATCGTTTTATGTATTCTCACCTCAATTTTTGTTTGTATACGTGTTCGGGAAAAAAGCAATAACAATGCATCAGGGCCTGTCAGATTTTACATATGCTCATTAAAAATTTACATTTAACACAGGAACATTTACTCTTACTTATATTGCAAAAAGTAAACGAGCAGCATTTGGCAAAACAACTATGGCGCAAATCTCAAAAGCAGAAATAGGACTTACCGACTATTTTATATGGCCGCTAAATTGTCGAAAATTCTCGCTAATTAACGAAAGTTTAATCATATTTTTATACCCTCAGTCATATGGCTAGAAAGGGGATTATATCATTTGATAACAAAACGTGCCTCATCGCAATAACGATTGTAGACTCTAGGTTACTTTGGACCAAATCCGTTTCAGGACATTTGGAGTTGATGTAGCGGTGCTCACGATAACTCTCATAGGGAGTACCCGATTTGATCCAAATTTGGTACATCATAATATTATTGTCAAACTTAGACCGAGTTCGGAGATGGGTAATATCGGTCTACTCCTCCTGGTACCACCCACACAAAATGTCAACATTTTCAAGGAAAATAATCTACTGCACAACAAGAGAAATGATAATCCTACTTTGGTCCAACTTTGCAAATTCTTATATTTTCATCAGTGCTAGATCAGGTAGGAAAATTGACAGTATCGGTCGACCCCATTCAGTACCTCGCCCACAAAGGGTCAAAATTTTAAATAACTATACCTCTTATAAAATGTGTCTTCATTGTACATCTTCAAAGTACACACACATCACAATATTTTTATTAACCCAAGGTCTGGTGTGAAGATGGAATTCATCGGTCCACTCCTTCTGGTACCTACCCCCACAAAGGGTCAACATTTTGAGTATCCATGAAACTCATAAAACACAAAATTAACATCCGATTTCATTCAGACTTGATACATTCCAATATTTCCATCAGATCTGTTATAAAGATGGTAGAGATCGGACCATTCCTTCTGGTGCCTCCCCACATACAGTTCAAGATTTTGAAATAGAAAACGTTCAAAGAAAGCGAAATAATCATCCATCTCCTCAAATGTCCCACATACAAACATTTTTGCTAACACGAGATCTGTTGTGAAGATGATATACATCTGTCAACCCCTTCTGGTACCTCACCCACAAAGGCTTGAAGAAACATTTAACATTTTTTGACATATCAATGATGCGTGGATGCATCTACCTTTATTCTTTTACCATAGTGGCGTTACTACACTACAAGCAACGTCTGTAATGGCATTACTCTTTATGTTGGGTTCCTACGACGCATAACAGTAGTTAATTAGTCAAGGGACATGGCGACAGGCCATTTATAAAATATTTTATTTTGGTCGGCAACATACTCAATTTACACTGGGTTTACTTGCTTACCATGGATTTAAAATAGCCAATTGACCTAATATATAGTTGCGATTATGATATCAAAAACTAATTAATTTACTGTCATTGAATAATGATAGACATTGACTACAACTATGGGACCAAAGAGCATGTGGCAGTGAAATACAACCCTGATTTGGAACAATTGGGCAAACGCTGGGGAAAATCGGTTATATTAGGTAAATAATTACACTTTTAATTTAGATTTACTTAGCATGCTCTTAAGGGAGAATAGGAGCAATTTTTTTTATTTCATGATCAATTCGGAGACTTGCCAAAAATCCGTTGAGTTAAATATGTAGTGAAGGGTACTGTGTATAGTACAGCAATCATGTTTTAAACTTATTCATTTGACAATTATTCTGTGAATGAGAACAAAAATATGATTGCTTAAAAAATGTAAACTTTTTCCTGTCCTTTCTTCCATTGTACTGCCGTCGAAACAAGTTTTCAGGTTCATGCATTTCTCTTTGCAAAACAATACATGAAAATCGAAAAATTAAGAAGAAAATTAAACATTTTCCGTAACTTCTCCCTCCACAAATATGCTTTAAGAATTCTCCGAAGAAGAAATTGAAATCGAAGAAGAGATAGAATACATTGATGACATCGAAGAAGAACAGCCTGGCGAAGAGGATGAAGTGGATTCTGGTGAGAATGTTTACAAACCGGAAACTTTTGAAGAGCTCAATGCCATGTATAGGCCAAAAGATTATCAACAGGATGAAGAGGATGAACCACAACAGCAACAAAAACACAACAATATGACACAACCAACAACAGAACCTGAAACATATTCGTATCGATCACCATACCAGACACCATTTAACACGACAACATCTAATAATTCTGCTACCACACCTACTTCTACTAATAACACAAAACCCCAGACAGATTGGGTGCAAACGTCAAGCATGGGATTGGCTTCCATGCCAAAATATCAACAAGAAAAAGCTGTAACTTTTGTGCCCGAAGCATCATCGTTGTCATCTAAACCTGTGATGGATAAATATTCACCGCCTACAGTTGAGGTGACAAATTATTCCCCACCCAAAGTTCAAGAGAGCAAATATTCCCCACCTAAAATTGAGGAAAAGAAGTTTTCACCACCCAAAACTGATTTCCAATCTCATGACATGGTGGAAGACATAAAACAAACCGGCAAAACCAAAGAGGTTACCCATGACATGGATTATCGACCGGAAGATGAAGATATCGAATATGACGAAGATGATATTTACGATGACGAAGAAGGCCAGGATGAAGACTCCGAAGAATTGGACGATGATGATCTATTAGATGATGATGTTGATGACGAAGAATTAGACGATGAAGAACAAGAAATATCCGATATTGATGATACCGAACTAATGAATCGTTTAGAGGCGAAATATGGCAAATTGCCAGCTAAAGAATACGAAAGTGATGAAGATCCCGACGATCCTACATGGACACGTAATTACTAATAATCTATGTCTATATATATTTCTATGTAATATACATGCACTTTAACCATCAACAAACCACATGAAGAAACTCTCTTAAAAAGTTACTCATTTCTTAACTGTACAACCCCTTGAATTGGCGTCCAATCCGGAAAACAAAACAAATAATCACACCAATATCGTGGCATACTCACTGTCATTCACACATATTAGGATTAATTGTTTTATAAGTTGTTTGTGTAAGTTTGATTTTTAAGTAAGAGCAATATGATTTTTTTTAAGATCGGACAATGTAGCCGGTTTGACTAGAGACGTTTTATTTGACACTTATGGAAAAAACTAATTACAATCTATGAAAATGTAAAGAACGGGGTTTACCATGTAAACAACATCGAAAATTATTTATGTTTTCTAAAGAAACGCATGTATTTTCGATCAGTCTCTCTTAAGGCTCTATCAGATGTGATGTTTTTTAAATAGGTAATATTAAATTTTCTATGTGTAGAAGTTAGAAGAAGAGGAAGTTAGAAGAAGCACATATCGTGTGATACATGGACGACATTTCAGTTATGAAATACACAATTGAAGTACATGCGTACTTTTTTGATCACAGCGAACCCTATTTTCATGGAAAAATATAATTTAATCAAAAGTGTTGTTTGTTTGTTGTGTAAACATTTACAACATTTGGTAAAAATATATACATAAAGTTTATATATTTTTTTAAAAAATACAATCTCAATGTAACCAAATAAATAAAGAAAAACATACGCGAGTGTGTGATAATTTCCTCGGAAGTAGTCCTTCCATCAAATGCTAGCACTCATCGAGTGTTCATCAAAAATGTTTGATAGTGTGTACACGACTTGAAAATACTTCAAAGACCTAAAATGGTAAAGACTAGACAAAATGCATTCTGAGCAAATGGTTTGTGTCTTTTCTATCTATATAACAGTTCATGACAGGAATATTTTAATATAAAAAAAACACATTTATAGAAATAAATGACAAACAAAAGTTTAAAAAATCCAAAAATTAGGTTTCAAAATTCTATTCTATAGACATTCCAAATTAATTGCATATTGCCTTAGCGGTTTAAATCGCATAACATTGCTAACTATGTTGTTACGATATCATAACAACAGAGGTATTTTCACAGGGTTGCCATATTTTGACTCTGTCTTGTCCTATCTTTACACTTCTATGTCTTTGAATACTTTTACCTTCAAATCTTTATTCGGGTTATCCGTCATAATTGACCAATCATAAAACATTTTACTTGGTAGAATAATAAAGGCTGCTGGGAAAATGAACTGTCAACCCAATTTTGAAATTGAAAATCTTGAATGAAAAATTATAAAAATTTTTTATCAATATTAAACCGGGTAAAGATTTTTAAAGGTTTTTACTTAACGCGCTATTATTTTGATAAGAAAATTTATGGTCTGCTCCAGAACTGCAAGAATGTAAAAGTTTTTACTACGAAACCCAATTTTTCCTTTATGATATCGGAAAAAATTGCAAAATTAGTAAGATCTTGCAGGTTCTGTAACAGAGCACTAGTAAAAGTTATAGCGTGTTTACATTCATTTTTTGTTAATTAACCATATTGATTGAGCTATTACAGTAAATCGAATAATAATATCCATTGGATTTATAAATACAATTTACGTGACGTATACGCTATGGAATAGACTTTTTAAATCGAGTGAATTGAGTAGTCTAAACATACTCTTAAGGGCTAAGTACATAAGAAGCTTGAAGTCGTGGCTAGGCATATTAATGTCAAATTATAATGGAAAACGACGGCTGGATTTTAGTGCGGCTCTGTAATCCCTTTGTGAAATGTCACAAAATAGCCATGACTTCAAGCTTCTTATGTACTTAGCCCTTTACGATAAATTAAATGTGTGTTTTATATAGACAAATTACATGGTAGAAGAATACAGGTAGTTGCATCGACACAGCTGATGGGGCAATGAACTGTCAAACCAATTTTAAAATTGAAAATTTTAAATGAAAAATTGATGGTAGAATTAAGAAGGTAAAGTCGTGTAATCATATGTTTACAATTTTTTCAAAATTTTCCATTTGGCAACATCTCATTGTCAAAATTTATATTTATAAATCCAGTGTATATTAAAAAATCAGAGATGGGAGCCTTTTTTCTATGCCGTGAAATTTGACAAGGTAAATTACTGAAAATACAAAGATGGGAATGCTTATTTGAAATGACTTTACATTCTTAATTTTACCATGGAAAATCTATTCAAATCAATCAAAAATGTTTGAAAATGCATATTATAACAATCTCTGATAGGTATCGTATAAGAGAACTTATAAAATCCTACTTATTTAAAAAAAAAAAAACTTTTTACATATTTTGACATATATATTTGACATACCTTTATTCTTCTACCATGGTCAAATTAATTATATTCCAGAACTAAAAAGTTTCTACTACCTTTGCCACTTTTGCTCAAAAATCCGTTCCCTTACTCCAAATAGCTGGAAAGTGTTAAAGGTGCAAGTACATAAAAAGCTTGAAGTCATGACTAGGCACATTTCATAAAGGGATTACAGAACCGCACTAAAATCCTACCATCGTCTTTCATTATAATTCTACCTTTATATGCCTAGCCATGACTTCAAGCTTTTTATGAACTTACACCTTAACTTCCATTGATAATGTCTCTCTCTTCCACTATTTGTATGTTCTCTTTAGAAATATTTTTTTCAACTCGATTTTGGGCGAGCAAATGAGGGCAACTGACAAACATCGAATTTGACATGTTAATGACAGCAAAAAATGTAAATAAATGTAATCAAAATGTATGTTGCAAATAATCATAAAATCTGCAAACATAAGAACTTTCAACGTTTGTTATTATTTTTTTATCAAATGTTTGGTAAAGTAATTGTCAATATGAGGACATTTTTGACACTTTTTGCTGAGTGTTGCAGTTTTTTTAATAGGCATAAAATTTTGACAACTGAACTAGAATTCAATTGCAATGGATTTTAGGTCACGTTTACATTGATGCTCTTTATCGCGATGACTTATGTAATAGTTAATTGGGCCTTGATTTTATGCAAATCAGGCAATTAATTAAAAAATTAACATAATCACTATATTTAATATATTAAAAAATGAGACTAATAGTTTACATAAATTATTATTTCCTTTCAACCAGAAATAAAACCCAAGTCTGGCGGCGGTGGTGGTCCACAATCATTTGAAGCTGATGATGATGAGTTTTTTGAGCAAGAATTGCGAAGAGCCAACAGAGAAATGATGCGAGAGGTATGACATCTATAGCCCATTGAATTTGATTTGAATAATAGTTTTATATTTTCTCATCTTTTTTTCTATTTGACAGTTTAATTACCATTAGAAATATACCCAGCCATAATGCCTACCATTTGTTTAATTTTTGTTATTTTTTTTCATGAAAAATATTTATTTTTTGTGTAGTTTATAAGAAGAAAACAATGCGCAAAGCCCTAAAAATTAAATCAAATATTTTTGTATTTTAAATGAACTAATTAGATAGACGCATAATACACATAAATGAAAAAAAAAGAAAACGAAGAAACATAACCACAATCTTTGGTCTTAGTGTTGCATTTTGTTTTTTGTTTGCCACAATAAAAATTAACTTGATATTTGTTTTTACATTTTGATTTTTTTCGAAATAAATTCCATGTAAACACACCCACTTTTATATGTGGAATTTTTTTAAAATGAATATCGATTTAATTTTGTAGTTTTTTGTTTCTTAATATGATTAAAAACTCAAAATATGTATAAAACCCTGCTGAATTTCCGCTTTAATACTACACACTTAAATATCCCATGACAATCACTGTGCAATTTATTTACTAACATTAAAAATAAAAATATCCAAATTCAATGTACCAGTACACACACAGAAGTATTAGAAGTTGGATTTCACCCCCAAAAAGAGCACTACAAAAAATAGAGGAGCACCTTTCAGACGCCATTATATATGCCTTGTTTTTGGGTAAGTTTGTCAGAGTTAACCCGAATATAGGTTTGTATGTAAACGTGCTTTTACAAACCCATATTTTTCATGGTAGAAGAATACAGGTAGTTGTATCGACACAGGGGCTGGGACAGTGAACTATCAAACCGATTTTGGAATTGAAAATGTTCAATGAAAAATTTTTTAAGTTTATAAAAATTGTTGAAAAATGCGAATTATAATAGCCTCCGAATGACGTAGTATAAGAAAACATATAAAAATCTACTTATATTAAAAAAACGTTTAAATTTTTTTTGACATATCAATGGTCCCAAGCGTTGATGCATTTACCTGTATTCTTCTGCCATGCATATTTTTCATGGTAGAAGAATATAGGTAGTTGCATCGACACAGCTGCTGGGACAATGAACTGTCAAACAGATTTTGGAATTGAAAATGTTGAATGAAAAATTATTAAAATTTGTAAAAATTATTGAAAAATTCATATTATAACAACCTCCGATTTGCTTCGTATAAAAAACATTTAAAAATCCACTTATTTTTCATAAAACATTTTAAAAATTTTGACATATCAATGTTCCCAAGCGTTGATACGTCAAAAATTCTAAAATGTTTTTCTTTTTCAAAAATTAGTAACTTGTTATAAGTTTTCTTATACGACACCAATCGGAGGTTGTTGTGGCATTCAATTTTTTACTATTTTAATAACTTTTCATTAACTTTTCATTTAAAATATTTAATTTCAAAATTGGTTTGACAGTTCATTGTCCCGGCAGCTGCGACGATGCGACTACCTGTATTCTTCTGCCATACACGTTTTTGGATTAAAAATGTTAACGATTTTTATTTTTTCATTATCTCTCACTTTCAGATCCTAGTTTTAAATAGGCGCCGACTGTGTGTATTAGACAAGTAAAAGACAATGTCATTACAAATTGATTCTTTTCAAAAGACGGAAAAAAGTTACTACTTTGGTCATGGCAGAATTTGAGGAAATCGGCATATATTGAATTATTTCCTTATTTTTTATATTTTTTATTTTATTTTATTCTCAACAAAAAAAAATGTATCTCAAAAGGTATTTGTAAAATATGTTAAGAAAATGATGAAGAAGAAAATCTAGATTCATGGTCAATTAATTTAAGAAAATACCGACGACTTTTGTACAAGTGTAAACATCTGATTATATGTTCACTTTTTTAAATGAATAAATCAAGAAAGACATTTCATTAACTAATGCGTTTTTTTTTTCTTTTGCAGAATATATGCATGAATATATGCGATATGGTCAAAATCGATCCACTCCTTCTCATACCTACCCCACAAAATGTCGACATTTTCAAATAAAGTTGGGACCTTCACAAAGGGTCAAAGTTTTTAATAACCAAAACGATCACAAAATCCGAAGTAAGCAAAAATGACAATATTTTTATTCACCCAAAGTCTGGTGTGAATATGGTATATATCAGTCCACTCCGTATGGAACCTCTCCCACGAAATTAACGTCCGATTCCATTTAGACTTGGCAAATTTCAATGTTTCTATCAGCACAAGATCTGTTAGAATGATGATAAAGTTGGGACCATTCCTTCTGGTGGCTCCCTCACAAAGGGTCAAACTCTTCAATAACAAAAATGAATGTGAAGATGGGATATATCGGTCCACTACTTCTGATACCTCCCTCACAAAAGGCCAGAAATTTGAATATCAATGAAGCTCATAAAACGCGAAATTAACATCCGATCCCATTCAGACTTGGTACATCTCAATATTTCCATCAACACAAGATCTGTTCAAGATTTTGTTATAACTTGCGAAACAAGTCGGCGATTTATTACAAACTTTCTATATCTAAATATTTATCTTAACACGAAATCTGATATGAATATATTGTTTATCGAAATTTATGATTTCGCATAAAATTGGATATAAATGTTCGATTTCCTTAATGCATATTTCCACATTTTCCAGAAATATCTCATATAAAGTATTGGAAGTATTCGATATAGTCAAAATCTGGCACGTTGTAAAATTTATATCCGTCTTAGGTCAGATACGAATTGGTCAATATTGGCAAACTGTTTCGGAACCGCCCCTATAAAGGGTCAACAGCTTGAATAATCGTAGGCTGGGAGTATACATCTGTCGGCAAAAACCGACTGATATTGTTATTGTAAACATTATGGAGAGCGCCTAAAAGAATGCTATAAAATACTAAAAGTAAATGTGAAAATCCCTTTAACTGCACGTTGCTCTTCTACTGAAATCTCGGGAATAAATGGACTTCTAAATGGCATTGCATCGTTCAATTAGCAATCAGGAGGTCCATACATCTTTTCGGAGATATAAACAGCAAGAAAATACTCCAACCCAATTTAAAGACCCATTTTCGTGTGTGGTTGAGTTATGTACCCAAGGATCCACTGTAATAGACAATTCATAGTTATACGCGACTCCGGCTTTCCCTTTATTTTAATTAAGAGCAATATTGAAAAGTTTAAAGAATAGGCTAATAACAACTGTTAGATGAAAATGGTACGACGGGAAGCGGGAAATTCCTTCAAGTCTAACAACGACTGCAAGCAGAAGTGGCTAGACGCCTGTCGGGGTTAAGTATTACTCGACGCCAGTTTTGCCAACAAACAAGATTGTACTCAAAATAATGAAGCTGACTTTACAACGTATGTAACTGCAATTAATCTTCAAGTAGTAAGAGGGATCGGCTTAAGAGGTGGATTACGAAAAGATACCAAAGAAAATTAATGCAGATATTTCTAAGGTTCTATACTACAGTTTCACATCTCTTAATCTTTAATTCCTTCTTCTTGGAAGAACACAAAGACCCATAATGTCTCCGAATAAAGTAACCTAAACATACCGCCATTCTAGTCCCATAGTATGATGTTGCTCCCAAAAATTATTATTGCTCACTTCTATACATTCCCATATCTATTTAAAAAATATAAAAACTATGTATATTAATTTTTTATATTATCTTTATATAATTAACCATTTTTTAGTTAGACATATGCAAGTAGTTGTAAAATATTCTGTATTTCTTTAAATTTGCCATCAATACCCAGCAGTAGCGAGATGATCCCGACATCAACTACAGATCTGAAAATATAAAATAAATGTTTATGAGTACATAATAGAAAAGCTTGCAAAATTATTTTGTTAAATTCGTTATCAGACATCTAAGGAAGGAGATATAGTCGACATAATTTATTTGGTGACAAAAAAAGTCGTCATCATTAAAGCTCTACAAAAGGTAATGCCGTTTTTTACTTAGGAAAATACCTTACCTTGAACATTTCTATGCATCCTTTGCTTTTTAGGAGATTCAAAAATGTGACGTCAATTTGTATTTGAAGTCTGAAATTAAAAGTATATACATTAATTAATATGGGTATAAATAAAAATTTGTAATAATCGTTTATTAATTTGTCAGACATCTAAGGAAGGAGATATAGTCGACACCATATGTTCGGTAACACAAAAAAGTTAGCATCATTAAAAAACATCGACTTATTGGCATTGATAGTCAACCTACCTAAAACAATCCATGTAGGGGTAGTTGCAACATTTGTTTATCATTTGCTGGAGCAGAATATAAGTAAAGTTGATCCATCCATAGCCGAATGGAAGTTGGTTACTTCACATCGAGGGCTCTAGGAGATCATTTTTGATTTCATTTTTCTGTAAATAAAGAAAAAAATGAATATGGATTCGTTTTATGTATGCTTTGTATGTATTGTCTATATGTCTAGAGTTGTAGGTGTCAGGAATAGCTTTATCAACAAAAAGTATTGCTTTGGTGAAGCTTCAGAATGGTGCAAGGCCAATTGAATATCATCAGTTACAACTATATAACAGTATAGAAAGATAAAATGTGCTTACCTATGCCATCGCTGATGTCTAACATTAAGCATATTTTCCCGATTTTCAACAGAGAATTGTTCTGCAAAATAAAAAAGAAACGAGATTAGTATGTGTGGCATAAAATGTAATTTTATATGACAGTATATAAATTTGTCAGGATTAGCAAATATCAACATTAGATACTTTGGTGAAGCTTCTGAGTGGTGCAAAGCCAATGGATAACTCATCATTTGTGGGTTTTTGAACAATGTGTTCAGTGGAATTTTAAAATACTTCAAATTACTTGGGAGCCATTCAAAGATTTGAAATAGTTTGTAGACTCCAGCCCATTTTGATAAAATATTCTAAATATCTACGCATTTAGTAAAGTATTTTACTTACCACGTGGTACTAACCATTTTCTGGTTTTTAACGCGGATCAAAGTGACGCCATCTTTGTTTTATATCTAAAATGGAAATAAGAAAGTCTTATTAAAAACTACCATAGACTTACAAATAGTCAAAAATATATTTTTATTTTAATATCAGATTAAATGAACCAATCAGCACTGTTTACTCAGACTGGGGCGGTATAACTAAACATCATGTTAATATAATTTATGTTTTAGAATTTATTTTATATAAACTTACATTGCACGTGTCATTATGCAGCGAATGTTTTATTACAATTTGTAATTATTGCAACTTGATTCAATTAAAGAGAAGAGCAACCTCCCGACTCGAGTTTCACACGTTCAAGAAAGTCTGGGAGGCGGAAATAGTCACCAGCTGACTTCTCTTAAAATTTCATCCCACTGAACAGTAACTATGGAAATGCAACTCAGTCATTTAATACAGAAATACATGTGTTAGTCGTAAACGTATCGTAACTTAGATATGGTTACACGGACTATTTGCTTTATTTTAGGGGATTATGTTTCAACGTTTCATAAGTTTACATAAGATTTGTTGACGTGAGTATTGGAAAGGTATGGGTAATAGAATTTTGAAAACACATTTTTGCATTTTTCAAGCTTTTATTTGCCATTCGTCATGAGCTGTTACTTTATGTATTGTAGACACAAACCGTTTTCTCGAAAAAATTGTTGAAAAACACATATCATTACAACCTCCGATTTGTGTCGTATAAGAAAACATATAAAAAAAATTAATTTTGATGAAACACTTTAAAAATTTTGATATATTAATGTTCGGAAGCGTTGATGCATCTCCCCATGGATCAATAAGAAAGGTGGCTCAACTTCAAGAAAACTAGGAAAATGCAACTCCATGCTGGAGTCTAATATATCAAATATACTTTTTTAACATGCAACAATTGGTTTTGTTAATTAACCATATTTTTCATAAAAATATTATATTGCAGAAAACCACAAATGGAATAATGGAATATTGGGATTTCTCAACTAAATTGAATCCAAGATAGCAGATAAAGATTGTTTTATCCCAAAATTATACATTTTGATACCCGTTAACGTGGAAAACATGCATTTCCGTTGTCTCTAAATTTGAAATAATTTCAAATTATTTCCCTTTTTATTTAAAACAATACACACACATATTCAAACTGTGTATATGTTTTGACAGTATAGGAGCACCAATAGAAAAAAAATGTATTTAGGGGGTAGCTTTGTTCTACCTTCCGTAATTATGCCATGCATCTACCTATATTCTTCTATATTCCATTGATTGTACAATGGATAAAATAATTCACAGAGCCCTACAACCAAAAAAGGAATTGTCGATCTATAGAAGCCTGGCATATATATTGATATGTTTGTTTTCATTTTCATTTTTATTGCGCATTCTGCTTTGTTATTTGTTTCTTATTTGAACGGCGCCTTTTTAAAAAAGGGACTTTGCATTCTGAGTCATTTCATTTTTTGTTTGTTAGTGTGTGCATTAGTTGGGGATTTATAGACTATTAGTGTTAGAGTTATATTATTTTCCGCCACTTCTTTCTTGCTTACGTCTTGATTTTTAGTTCATCCATCCGTCCATTGACATTTAGAAAAATGTCTGCCCTACTTGGCACATTATTGACCCTGTTCATTTTGGCCATTGCCAGTGGAGCCGTTATTGAACAGGTGGATGATACCGATTTGATTCATATGCTTACCGGCGAAGATAACGTCATCGTTTTGTTTTGTAAGTACACAACGTTATTTGACCTTTTCGAGATTTGTTAATATTTATGTTTGTTGTATGTGTGTATAGCCAAGAACAACTGTCCCAAATGTGATGAACTGGAATTGACATTGGAGAATGTTGAAAAAGACTTGAAAGAAAACGTTGGAGCTATTGTGGTCAAGGCTGTCAATAGCCACATGGTCAATTTATATGATCCAACTAAAGAGCCAGCCTTGATCTACTTCAGACGTGGCGTACCTCTGCTCTATTATGGCGAAAATAATGCCGAAGATATTGTTCGAATGTTTAGTGAGAATCCTGAACCGGCCGTCAAGGAATTGGCTGATGATAATTTCGAACATCTAACCCAGGCATCAACAGGTGCCACAACCGGCGATTGGCTTGTCTTTTTGTAAGTTAGCCATATAAGCATATACATACCTGAATACATAATATGCATGAGTGATCATTAATTATATTTTATAATTGCTTGTTCTTTCTTGCCTTAGCTATTCTGCCGATTGTGTATTTTGCTTACGTCTACATGCTACATGGGAAGCTGTGGGGGCCCATCTGAAACATCGCCTTAATGTGGCTCGTATTAATCGTTTGGAAGCTGGCATTTCAACGGCCAAACGTTTTGGCATTGTCGAGTCGCCTGAATTTATATTGTAAGTAGATTGATCTAGAATAGAAGTATTGGATGAGGGTTTCTGCGACAGAATACAAAATACTTGGAGGGTTCTTTTATAGTATAATTTACTTTTCTATGTCTTCTATCCTTAAGAGAGGAGCATTTTAAAAAAATGTTTAAGAGATCTTTTCAGAGTATAATAAACAGAAAGAAGAATCTTCTGTAGAGAGAGGGAACTAAGTCTAGGACTATAAAAATGTATTCGAAAATAGAGGATCTACAAAACGTCGCTTAGGTAAAAGTAGTTTATTTTTATGTATTTCTTCTGAAGATAGAATACCTACTAACGATTTCTATCTTCTCAAATGCTTGTATTAATTAAAGACATTCTAAGATCTTGAAACTTTTTCTATAGACCCATCTAAAGTTCTTCAATAAATATCATACCCTATAAAAAAAGATATGAAGATATTTTAAGGTTTTATACAAAAAATTGAAGAATTTATATAAATAGTTAAAGACCGTTAAATGACATTTACAGGAGGAAAAATTTTACATTCCTTCTCTAGATGAAGAACCCTTTGGATGTGCGAAAACTTCAAGGCGTATTCAAAGTTGGAAGATCTTGAAATAACTAATGTCGAGAGAAAGTATTGAAATGGCTTTCCATATATGGAATACTTTCAATAGAATAGGTATAATAAGAAGATCTTTAACAGAAGCTCCTAAGTAAATAGGTATTCTGAAGGCTGTCTATGAAATGATAACATACAGTTCTCCTATGGAAAGAAGGCCTTCACATAAGATCTGTTTAGAAGAAAGGGTAGAATTCCATTATAGATCTTATATCCTAACGTACAAAAAAGAAAATTAATTACATAAATTATAATACTATTGAATTAATTGCATTGAATAACTAACATAAGCTGTAATTTTCTCTGTTAATGTTTCAGGTTACGCCAAGGCAAAGTATATCGTTACAAATCGAAACTCTATACTGCCCAACAGTTCATTGATTTTGCCACCAAGGACTTTGCCAAACAAACAAATCCTGAAGCCGTGCCTCCAGAAGTAAATAATATGTAAGCATTATCCAATTAGAAATATCAGAAAAGTAATAACCAAATACTCTTTTCTTCCAGGAATAATTTCATCACCGACCAATTAAAGACAATGGGCGATAATCAACAGATCATCTTTATTGTTTGCGGTGTTGTCATTCTGGTGATCTTGGCTGCCTTGGTTGTCAAACGTAAGGTGTCAAAAAACGAAGCACCAGCAACAGTTAAAAAATCCAACAAAGCCAAAAAGGCGAAATAAAACTGTTGCTGCAAATACGTACTAGCGATGTGAGTGGGTGAACATGTACTTCCAAAAAAGATGTTGAATGTGTGTCAATACCAAGAAATCATTCCATTTATAGACAATAGCTTTTTAGACAAACCATCCCATGACTTTTTTTTACATATGCCTCTTTATTATGTATTGTAAGATATTTTGTGAAATATGTATAATGTTCTCATCTACAAACAACAAATAATTTGTTAAAAAAAAACTTTGTATTTTTGTAAAACCAATTTTGTTTGTAAAATAAATAATACAATAGTTTTTGTAATTTTTTTTAGTAAATTTTAAGATTCCTATTACTAAATTTAATTAACAATATGGAATATTTTCCGGTTATGTACTGTAGGATATTGGTAAAGATACCATGCTCCGATTACGCAATGATGATATTCTAATAAGAACCTTAAAAAAGTTGGATGGGGCCTTAATAATTTAAAATGTTAAATACTGAACAAAGATTTTGGAATCGCTTATAATTCGGCGTACCCTTATGAAGTATGGACTAGAGGCAAGACCCTCCATTACACTCGATAAACCTTTACATTACACTCGATAAACCCCTATTTATATGAGGTTAAACAATTAAAACCTTAAATTCTAATATGCAAGCAATAAGTTCCATATGGAATATTGTTAGCAGATGCCATCCAAAACTATTAGTGAGTATTTTAAGGAGTATATTAGAGCAAACAATATAACTTTTTGATATATCGTTCCATTAAGGAGTCGCTTTCCCCAAATTTGTTTATTTTAAAATGTGAAAGAATGTTTCCGATATAATCGAGTGGACGTTAGGGCTGATGAAAAACTGCGGCAAAGTCAAAAGCCATAATTTTTACTTTTTTTAAATTTTATTGAATGAAAGCAAAAAATTTTGGAAATAGTATCAAATTTAAGAATAAGTTTAGATTTGTTCGAATTGGTCATCGTTGACACGAATTATGGCCTTCAAACGGCCAATGAAACCGTCACACGCTGCCCGAATGCTGCTCTGCGGTATTTTTGCCCATTCCCGGCGAAGCGTTTGCTTGAGTTGATCGACACTTTGGTATTTTTTAGTGCCAACCTTGCTTTCCAAAATACTCCAGACACAATAGTTCAACGGATTGGTATCCGGAGATTTTGGTGGCTATTGTGCGGTGGAAATGAAGCGAGGAACCTTATTTTGTAACCATTCATTGGTGGCGCGTGCTGAGTGCGATGATGCTGAGTCCTTTTGGAATGTCCAAGGTCTGCGGACAAAATGTTTGCGTGTCCAAGGCTTTAATACACCCTTCATAATATTTTCGCGATAATATTCGGCATTTATTCTGAAGTCACGGTCGATTTATACAAGCGGAGAGCAACCATCGGCTGTTATGGCGGCCCACAGCATCACCATGGCCGGCGCTTGAGTTCTGTTCTGGTGGCCAACCGAAGGTGCACATTTTTATCTGACCTCTTTAAAAAGTAAGCACGATCAGTTTGTTTGTTTACAAACTGCTGGACAACTTATGTTTTCTCAATGGAAAAAAACCAAATTCGGCAGTTCAACACTTTCGGCCAAGCGAAGCAACTCTTTAGCTCTTTTGAGTCTATTTTCATTCTGCTGCGGCATAAGTTCTTGCGCTTTTTGGAATTTCAATGGCTTTACCCCGAGCTCATTTTTCAGAATTTGTCGAATGGAATATTGCGATATGTTCAGCTCACGAGCCATTTTTCGGCCACTGCGACGCGGGGTTTCGATCAAGTCGCTTCTTTACTTTTTGAACCATTTCTTCTGATGTTGCTGTTTTCTTCCTTTTACTTCCTTGACGTCGGGCTGCGATGGAGACAAAAAAGTTTTATTCGCACTTAAATGCTGGAGTGCTCTACCGGTAGCCACTTGTGATTTTCCAGCCAAATATAGAGAAATCCCACATAATCTGTCACTGGAATAATTTTAACAGCTGTCGAACGAGTGGCTTAGAAATGACAGCAGTCTGAATTTGGTTGCAGTTTTTTCATCTCACACTGTATTCGGTATTTTGATGATTTTAGCCACATTTTTCGCCGAAATTGTTTCAAATTTCGTATTTAAAGATCTTAATGGGTACTCCAACAGCGTATGCCAAAAAATTATTTATGCAGGTCCAACGTCTTTGTATAGCCCCCGTATAAAGCTCCTCAGTTAAATGATATTCTTCGAAATTTGTTGAAATTTTTCAATTTTTCAAATTCGGCCCAACCGAACATAGCTGCTTTTTACTTGTTTATATAGATATTTGATGTGTTCTAGGTTCATTTTTTCCAACTTGATCAAAGATAGGGCAAATGGAATGCAAAACTTTGCGTTGCGATTATGAAGTAGTTACGAAACGCGCGCGTGCCTGTGGAATTTTTTTGATAATTTTTGATTAGGACTATGCCACCATGAAGTGATGATAAATCACAAGTGCGTTATCGAAGTAGAGGCACAATAATTAGGCCAAATTCTAAAACGTGTTCCCCAATTTGATAATATCAGGAACAGTATCGCAAGCCATAGTAGAGAAGACGTTTTTTTGCGCATTTTATATTGGTATCAGAAATGAATGGCAATAGCTCAGATAATTGTTGAAAAAATATTTAAAATATTCAGTTTTCTGCAAAAAAAAAAATAGTCCTTCAAAAATATAATTTAAAAATCTATGTCTATAATTCGAAAAGTCCTAGAAAATTTTGAAAACAAGTTAAAAATTATCAGTCGGTTTTGCCGACAGATGTATTCCCTCAGCCAATGTTCGCTCATTTAAATATATTTTGACTTCTGTTATGATAATTGAAATGCTCTATGAAATAGGTTCCGAAGGAATGGGTCAATATTGTGCATTTCGTATCGGACCTAAATATATATGATATAAATATTGCGGCGAGCCAGTATAGACTATATCGACTACTTTCTTCAATTTATATGTTTTTCGTAATCTTGAACCCTATGTGGGAGAGGTACCAGAAGAAATGGTCCGATCTCTAACATCTTTATAAACTATCTTGTGTTGGTGGAAATATTGAGATGTACCAAGTCTGAATGGACTCGGATGTTTATTTCGCGTTTTATGAGCTTCATGAATATTCAAAATGTTGATCCTTTGCGGTGGAGGTACCCGAAGGAGGGGACCGATATATCCCATCTTCACAGCAGATCTTGTGTTAATTGAATTAATGAGATGTGTGAAATATGAAGAGAACCCGATGCTTATTTCGGATTTTATGATAGTTTTGGATATTCAAAACTTTGACCCTTTATGTGGGAGGTACCAGAAGAAATGGTCCGATCTCTACCATCTTTATATCAGATCTTGTGTAGATGGAAATATTGAAACGTGTCAAGTCTGAATGGAATCGGTTTGTTAATTTCGCGTTTTATGAGCTCCATGAATATTCAAAATTTTGACCCTTTGTGGCGAACGGACCGATATATTCCATCTTCATACCAAACCTTGGGTTTATAAAAATATTGTGATGTATGTAATTTGAAGACAATTGGACACTTACATCACATTTTAGAAGAATTATAATTATTCGAAATTTTGACCCTTTGTGGGGGAGGTACTTGATAGAGCGGAACGATGTTGTCCATTTTCGCACCTGAACTAGCACTAATGCAAATATTAGGATTTGCAAAGTTGGAGCCAAATCAAATTATCCTTTTGAAAATATTGACATTTTGTATGAGAGGTACCAGAAGGAGTGTACCGTTATTGTCCATCTCCGGATTCGATCTAAGATTGACAATAATATTACGATGTACCAAGTTTGGATCAAATCGGATACTTCCTTCGAGAGCTATGGTGCGCACCAGCCAGGCAGACGGACGGACATTGCTAGATCGACTCCAAATGTCCTGAAACGGATTTGGTCCAAAGAGACCTAGGGTCTAAAACCGTCATTTCGATGAGACACGTTTTGGCCGTTTCAAATGATATATACCCTCTCTAGCCATATGGCTGAGGGTAACAAAAATACATGTTAAAATTTCTTTAAAGAATACATTTAAAAAAACCCACGATTATAGCTCAGATCATCCTTAACAAAAACATTAAGAATACTCGTTTATGGCTCTAAAAGTGTCCAATATTCTTTGAAATAAATCTTAATTCCATTATCTTCAACAGCGTTATCTCCCTCCTCTTCTATCATACCCCCATTGCGTTGTTCTGATTTCCGTTTGTAACAAATCAAAAATCTACATATGTAAATGCAATGCAATTGCAGCTGAGAATTGCCGATAATCGCCGTCGGTGGTGCTGGTTGATTTCAAAACTTTCTAGGTCAATTGTTAATTGTGATGAGATTTTTTGCACAGTCCTCATTTTTTTTTTGGGTGTTGAAATATTCGGTTGAAGCGTTGAAAAAGAAAACAATTCTTTTTGTATTCTACTTTCGATTTCGTTCGTCCATTTATTGAGTTCAAAGCCAATTAATGCCAACAGTGGTCGTTTAGCCAAGGGTCTCGTGAATTGTCCAAGAAACTGCTGCCGACAGATATTTTCAGAGATGCGCGTGTGACCTATTTTTGGAAATTGCAGTTCAGATGATATGTTGAAATAAATTGCAGATGGGACAATATTTGGATGTCTTCAGTGGGACGGACTAATGATAATATTTTCTCATAATAGCGGTGGGAATTGGGTTGGGGGGAAAATAGGAATGTATATTATCATTATTGATAAGTGATGTCCCTATTTTTATAGACGAAAATATGCAGCCTGCATAGGAATGTTGATACAAAAAGTTGGGAATCTTTTCTTAAATATATCTTCAAGGGCGCAATTTTTAAATGCTTTACAAACTTATAATCAGATTATTCATAGCTTTTTGTAATTAAAAACCAAACGAAGGTTGAACCTCACAATATGTCCAACACATTTGCAGATTGGCGCCCAATAGATTTTGAGTTAGTTCAATTGAACTTTTAACTATTTGCCAAAATATCTAATTTTTTTAATACCGTATACTACATCAGAACATATGCAGGGTGGAGACCCTGGGCCCGGACCTCTTCCAAGGTTGCTTGTTTTCTGCATTTTTATACCCTCCACCATACTATGGAGGGTATATTAACTTTGTCATTCCGTTTGTAACTTCTCGAAATACTCATGTCAGACCCAACAAAGTATATATATTCTTGATCAGCGTAAAATTCTAAGTCGATTTAGCGATGTCCGTCTGTCTGTCCGTCTGTCTGTTGTAATCCCGCTATCTTTCGAATGAATTGAGATAGATGGCTAAAATGTTGCACACATGTTTATTTTTCCAGTAGGCAGATTAAGTT